GCACTCTGGGCTCTAGCACTGAACAGATCTTGACTTCCCATGGTACTAAAGTTTTGTCTGCATTGTACAATGAAATGCTGTTCAGAAACATCTGTTCCTCATAAGTGAATTAGATTTACTTCTCGGTTCAACAATTTTGGCACAGCCCTGCAGCGTGCTAAGGAAGGACAAGCCTCTAGAAATCAGCATCACAAGTAGATAAATGCAAAATCCAAATGGGCAGAGCTGTCTACTTATTATTCCTCATTATGGCCATACGTACTCAAGGTAGTTTGATTTCATATTTTTCATGTAGCCTATAGCTTTGTAGAGTTCATTCAAAATGTGACATTTCTGACAGAGATTAAAGGGGCTATGGGTGCCCTCAGCTCTTATATCAGCATATATTATATGCTAATATATTCAGCATAGACAAATGCCACATCTTTCTTCTGCACAGTGAATACATTTCATATTGTGTTACATTATTAGTGCCATTAGAGTGCTTACTGTCATGAATGGTCACCACAATACAGATGTTCTGAAATAGCTAGTTCACAGAAACCAATCTAGAAAGTTCCATCTTCCTTTATCATAACTCATCCAATGTTCTTTTTGTATTTACTATAGAGATAATCAAAATCCAGTCAATTCAGCACTAATAAAGAAGAATAAACTGAATAAGGCAGAAAATGATTTATGCACAGGAAAAGGGGAAAAGCCTACCAAGTCTCTTTAACAGTTAAGCTAGCATTAATATGTGGATGCGAATAAGATTAAATTATTAATAAATGATCAAAGCTATGACTGAAATGACATTACGGAAGCTTCCTTGGTCAAACTGTTACAGATTCCTTTTGTTTGGTAGTCTAGAGATCAAATAAAGTAGTTTATTGCCAACTATAATCAAAGTATTGTTCCAACCACTACAAATATGAATTATGCTAACAAGAAAGCAAACTAAAATGAAACAGACTTGGTGAGGTATCCCAGATCCTTCATGTAAAGAAAACACACTAAATTATACTTTATCATCTTCTCCACAGCCATGAACATCAAAAGTCTACTCTAAAACCAAATATCAAATATCTTAGCCACTGTGATGCTTTCAAAAGACAAGTCTTCAAGGAAAACCATGACAGCCAATACAACCAATATTGCAAATCAGAGGCCTTTATCAGAACTGATATCAGTGAAAATCTTGCTAATTTAAGTGGGGTCTGAGTCTGGCCAGAATGAATAGGAAAGTTGATTTTGCCTCATTTTGATTCAATATATAGCAAAGTAGAATATGGATAAAGTTCCTGTTTCAATGGATAGAGTAAATTCCTTCCTGATTTGAGAAAGCTGCTTGGGTTAATAGAGAGTTAATCTCCATAGCTGTGAATTGTCTCTAGTTTTAATGAGACAACTCACAGTAAATTTATGCAAAATACTCTCCAGTGTTTCTGGAGAAAGCAAGTAACACCTGCTTCCAAGTCGACATTATCTCTCCCATAAGCAGCAGCAGCATACACAAGAAGCCACCTGCAACTTTTTTTTTTTTTTTTTTTAAATTACCCATAACATAAGAAAGTCAGATGCCAGTCCTCATCCCTTCAAGGACTAGTTTATAAAATATCACCCTCAGTTTTTGTTTTCAATAAAAAAAGAACTGCTCAGCAGCCACAGTGATATTTCTTGCCTATAATCCAGCTCCTGGAATTTTAAGTCATTATAGTTAGTTAAAGTGATCTAAGGTTTTCACTTGGGAACATGACTTTTCCTCTTTTAAGTTTCCAAAATGTGTATCACATTCATATCATAAAAAGGTGTCAAATGTTAGCAGTCAGACCTGGAATGTTCTGCAGTGGTTGTTTCCAAGATTCTGTACTTTTTTCCCCCCCCGAAATATGAAAATAAAGCAAAATGAACCAACTCTATTTTCTATAGTTAGAGAAGCCTCACTTTGAACCTTGGGAAGGTGATGGAACAGCTCATTCCCAAAACCATTTCCAGACACAGGAAGGAGAAAATTATTAGAAGTAGTCATCACAGATCCACCAAAGGGAAGTCACATCCTGATAAGCTGACAAGTTGGTAATAAAATCACCAACCCCATGGATATCATCTTTCTAGACAGCCTTTGACACTGTACCCGAAAAGATGCTCATAGAGAAGCTGTTGGAGCATAGGCTGAACAAGTGAACTGAGGTCGATCAAAAACTGACTGAATAGCCAGGCCCAGAGGGCACCAGTCAATAGCACACAAGTGCATTCAAGCAGTCATACTCAAATCTCATTCTTTCAAGCTGCGTTTGTAATATTATCAAAAAAAGAAAAGCAGGAATCTTTTAGATACTCTACCTCCCTTGCATTTTAGTTTTATTTTACACTAGATAAAGTCTTTTGCTATAGTTCTTAGCTTGATTTTCATATACAGATATAGACAAAACCTTTTATTTTGTGGTAGAAACACATTTTAATTTTGGAAAGACCTGCAAGGATAAGAAGCTAATCTTTACTTCCTCACATATATATATAAAATGCTGTGTCACAATGGAAAGCATAGCAATAACAGCAGAGTAGCAAAGACACAGGCTACAGCAAGTGAGGATTTACTCAAACGCAACAGCCATGTGCACAGAAAAAAAGAAGCTGCTTACCCCTAGGCAGCCTCCAGCAAGCACAAATCTCCAATGATCCCCTTGCCTCCACCACCAACCCATAAATGAGGTCTGGGAAGGGGTGGATCCTGGCTCGCCCTTCCCTCCCCCCCTTCTAGTCACACAGGTGTATTGCATTACACGCAGCTGAGCTCCCCTGGCTTGGCCCTGCCTTCCCACCAGGTGCTCAATCACTGGTTCAAGCTGTGACTTGCATTTAGCCTACATCACCTCATCATTTTAAAAAACTTTAAACAGGAAAAAAAAATTATTTTCTTTATGAATACTACAGTTAGTGTAATCACATAAATATATACAGCCATTGCTTTTGCAATCAAATAATTAAAGACCTGAAAGAGGAACACCAAAAAAGTGAAGACATATACTCCTATGTAATGAGCTAGGGAACAACAAAAGCATAAAAACAAAAATAATAAATTCATGATCTAATGAGAAGATCATGAAAGTAAAATAAAATTTTTACAAATACATGAATTCTATGACATCACTTATAAAAAAAAAATGAAAACAAGAAGAACATGACAGAAAATCACACAGGTAATAGAGTCAGTAAAAAAACTACTTTAGTTACTTGTTTTCTGTAGTAAAAAACAGGACTGAATATTGTGATTTCATGTATGCACCACCTACTAAGAATGCTTGACATTTAGTCAACTTGTGGTCGGTTTTTTTGTTTTTGTTTTTCTTTTAGGTACAGGTTGTTTCCAGATCTCCTGGGGCCAACTGTCATTAACTACTCTGGTATAAAAGAGCCTGACATAATTTCTAGCCTTAATCACAAAAGGTGGTAAATACTTTATACCTAATTCTCACAACGAATCTGCATGCATACATTATTGCCTGTAAGACAGACAGCTGTAAAGGACCATGACCAACTGAACTGAGATTTGTACATTTTATCATTGTCAGCTACTTGAGCTCTTCATACGTGAAAAAGTAGCAAAGCAGATCTTTGACAGTATTCGGATGATAGAAGAGACTGACAGAAGTCGTGGTAGAATGGTAAGAAGTTTAGAGTGCATGCATTATAATATTCACTGTTTCATTTTGCTTACTGCATCAGGAAAGAAAAAAATAGCTAATATTGCTTTTGTTTTCTTTCAGAAAACTAAAGCTGTTGTGCTTTTTGCTTGTGTCATCTTCATGGTTTTTCTTATAGTTGAAATCGGGTGTGCTCCAAAGGTAAACAGTGATAAAAATGTCTTTATTGTATAAGAGGGTTTGCTTCTAGTGAAATAACAGCCAGTTTCTTTCTATAACTTACAGGGTAAAACCATAGTGAGAAACTGGGGCCCACAATCAATTCTATATCTCAAAGGACGCTGTAAGTTACATTCAAAAGCTGTTCTGTGGACAGTGAAGCTGTATGCCGATTTGGACTAAGAAGTTGAAAATTTGTTAATAGATTTTTAAAATGTTTTTCTACATGCAAACTGAATGATGCATTTTATTACAGGCTTTTAAATACCAGTTCTGATTATTTTAAGGCCAGCTAGCAAATAGGTGTTTTGCTTTGCTGAAATTTAGAGGAATCTTCACAGTAAGCAATCATCTCTTTATACTAAATAACCAGAAAAAGACAAATGCTTGTGAGTAATAAGTGAGAGGAATGTGAAGTTGGCTTCTGTTTGCCAACAGAATGTCACTGAGTAGGCAGCCCTTCTAAAAATATATTTAAAAACAAGACATTTGAATTAAAGAGGTACTTGAAGAAGAGAGGCTCTATAGTACACCTACTCAGTATCTTCAGATATTACTCAGGTGACATTTGCTCTAGAGATTGAGAACTGCAGCTGCTCTACTCTTTTGACTTCCAGGATATACGTACAGTATTTGGTGAACAATTCAAAGAGTGATTGGTGGCCCAAGAGTTTTTTGCTGTAATGCTATGTGCCCTATGATTTGTAATTTCTGAAGACTGTCTGGCTTTAGGAGTTTAATTCTAGGCTAAGATATTATTAGAATTATCTTGAAGTGGTTCAGTGTGAAATCAAAATATTTCTGAGATGTACATACAGTAGATCTGAGGCAAATTTATTTTGAAATTTAAGTTACTGGATTATTGCCCTGTTGCTTTGGAGTGCGTGCAACTGCTGATGGAACCATTTTTTGGAATTTTCTTTCTCTCTCATTTATCACTAGATGGCAGGAGATACACCTCTGAAAAGGATGAACAGTACTACAAGCTTAACCTGGAGGACTTCAGCGCATTTTTAAAAAGTAATTTCTTAAGAAAAACATTTATAATTTGCTATTTCTCTGTTGATTTCTATCATAGTTCTATCATTTTTATCATAGCAAAATCCTTGAGGAGCCGGGTATTTCTAACTCCATGGAATTTACACTGCAGAGGATATTTCCTGGTTTGGTACACTGACTTAAATTAAGGGAAAAGTAGATTGAGGTCAGGATTTTTCCAAGTGCTAAGAATGATTTTGTTCCTGCTGCCTTTTACAACTTGAGCCAAGCACACAGCACTGCCTTCTCTCCAAAACCACTGGTATTCTAAGAATTCAACTATTTACTGGAGAAAAGAAAACAAAAAGAACACTGGTGGTCTTTCTGTTTAAGCAGAGTTGAGAAAAGGCCAGCAGCAGTTTTGTGCACATTCAGAGTCAAAAAGACTATAGCAGGAAGACAACTGGGTATAAGAAAAAAGAAAGACAGAGTTTCACTTCAAGGTCTTCCTAGAATAGTGACTGTAGAAATAATAATTACCAGAAAATTAGTCGTGGAAACAAAGCTCGAAAGAGAATGGATTTTCCCAGCAACAGCTCAACCAGCCATAGAGAATGAACACAGCTTCAGTTTTAGTGATTTAGATCACAGTGATATTGTTGGAAAGCATATAGGGATTGCTGAATCACAGCTTGAACCTCTGATTGACCACGTGAGGCAAGCAATGAGTCAGCCATGGGAGCACAGGTGAAGGTAATTCACCTGTGCTACTGAAAGGGGTGGAGCCTGGCTCCACCTCTCCCAGATCCTATTTAAGTGCTGACTGCCACTGAGGAAGGCTCTCTTCCTGGAGATCACTACTCATGGTGAATGTTGTGAGCCTATGACATCAGTAAGCATTTTCCATTTATTATCTTCCTGTTGCAATAATCTTACTTAGTCTAACTTTCCTGGATATTTCTTAATTATAACATCTGTATATTCACTGATTATAGAGAAAGTGAAAGGAAAATAGACCAGAAATAACAAAAAAGCAATTTCATGCATAGATAACCTTCCTCACCCTTGGGTTGTTCTTGTGGAGAAAAATGTCACAATTCAGTTAGGCCTATGAAAAACATTCAAGGTTAAGCTTTTGACACCCTATTATAGAACTAGCTCAGTACATGCTTTCTATCTGAGCAAGAACAATATTCCAGGCTTTTAAAACTGACAGATAAGCATCTGCAGCTGCTGTAGTATAGGTGCAGGACCCAAACCCAATATCTGAGGATGTCAGAGAAAAGATCTCATCTTCAGTGCAGCTAGAATGGGTTATGAAAATGAATCATAGATACCAAACTTTGCTTCCTACAGAATGTCCAGACAACATATACTGACTTTGTGTTTTCTGGTGTTTTTTTTTCCTTTAACTTTAGGCTGTGTTCAAAACCACTGAACATCCTGAAAATCAGAAGATTTAAAGCCCAAAGCATGGATGTTAGATGCTTGGAATAAATCAAAGCTTTCCTTTGTTTGCTACAAACATCTCATTCTGAGAAACAATAATAAATATTTTAACTGAATGTTAATACTGCAGATGTCACAGTGTAAGTCTCTTTAAGATATGCATGCATTATATCATCTTGTTCCAAGAGAAATCTTCATTAAACTTACATTTGAAAGTTAATAAAACTAAATGCTTGCTAATACAACTCATCTTGTTTTCTTTTTCCTTACACTATATGAAAGATATGACATAAACTTAAAAGCTTGTATGTACCTTTATAATTTTCTTAGTTGTCTGCGAAAAGCAGCAGAGCTCAAAACGTAAGCATTTTTTGGCTCTTCTTAGAGAACCTGTCACCTGTCAATATTGTGATGCTACAATATTCATCTAACTTCATGAACTATTTTTAGCTTCTCCCTGTGTCTGAGCCTATCACTCTTCCGTACCAGTCTGCCAAAGATAATGAGGTGTCTTCCTGTAGATACAGTTGTGACTCACAGCAAATGCTAAGTATATTCTATGACAGGACACATGGAAATGATCGCATTATCTTTAGAGGTTAGTTAAACACAGATAAATGTGTTTGCCCCTTATTCAAGAAATTGCCAGAAACATTAACTGGCAGAAGAGCCCTCTACCAGCTCATGTTTCATATATTTTAATGAAACTAAATTTGCAGTGTGTGCTTTCTCTTCCAGCTTTGTTAAAAAAGAGATTAGAAATCTGAATAAATACTTGAAGAATTTTGTTGCTGTCAATTTAATGAGCCTTCCTAAAAACGTGCTATATTCTTGCCAGAGATCTAGAAAAACATGAATGTCTCAAGAAAGCTGCTTCTGACCTTCTCTATACAAATGGTAAATCTTATTATTTACCTGTTGAAAAGTTGAGTTAGTTTCTCACTCGTTATACTAACACAGGACAGCTGCCCCATGCAAAGTTAAATCCATGTACTTCTATGTAATCCATTTATTTCCATGTGAAGTTAAGGAATTATCTAGGATTATATAGTCCGATGTTGCTGCCTGATAAATAGGCTGTCACAACTCTGCATTCAGTGAAGTTTATTGATGCCACCTATACAATACAGCTGTACTCTAGTAGAGCATTTAGCTGAACTAAAGGAAACAATGAATGACACTATACAAATACAAGACTATCCCCAAAAGAAGCAAAGTTATGGAACTGGGTGAAGTGCAGAGGGACAAAGCAGGGTATGAGCAAGTCCCTACATAATATCACTGGCTTTTGTAACTAACTGAAGTTGAGTGAAAGGCTTCCACCAATTTCACTTGACTGCTTAACCCTGAGTCGGAAAGGAAAACTTTTCTTCACTGCTTATCCTAGTACTATAATGCAGAAAAGAGCATATTCAAGATACCCTATATGGCTCTGAAAATCTCACTAGTAGCTCCAATTGCAAGGACGGCTCCATGGAAGAAATTATTTCAACAGTCCATATAGAATCATAGAATGGCCTGGATTGAAAAGGACCACAGTGATCATCTAGTTTCAACCCCCCTGCTATGTGCAGGGTCACCATGCCGCCCAGAGCCACATCCAGGCTGGCCTTGAGTATAAATATGGGTCCATGCCATTCCTAAGGGGGTGAGGCACACGTTATATTAATTCAAATTTTCAAAAACAAGGGAGCAGTTAAGCACCATCATTTCCTGGACAGCCAAAGCTTGCCACTGCCTGTACCTCTCCCAGCTTATAGATGAGAGGTCACTTCCCAGCTCTCCCCACTTACACTTACTTTGATGAAGAAGACAGCTGTTAAATTTGCTCATATGCACTTAGAGCAAAGAAAAAGTATGTGAAAGTTGCAGAACTGAACAAAGGAGTTCTACAAGACAGATGCTCAGTAAAAAATAGTTTCAAGCTCTAAAGAAACTCAAGTATTTCTTCTTAAATAGGAGGAAGGAAATTGGGAGGAAAAATGATAAAACCTAGAAGCGACAAAAAGATCTGTCTATACATTTCTACTGAAGACTGAAAAAAATAATTTCTTTTCCTTAATTATATCTGCACTAGCATGGACAGTTTCCAAATCACGGCAGACCTGCAGGGACCTCTGATGCTGATGATTATATTCAGCGCAGTCAGTATCTCTCAAGAATTGCCTGTTTCTGCTTTTGACAGTATGTAAATCTTAATAGGCTTCTGAACTAGGCACAAGAGAAAACATATGCAGCGATGAAATGAGGCTGGAATAGTGATATGAAAATGGGAAAAAATAAACACTAAATAGGAACAGCTTCACAATGAAGTTGTTTTCTGTTTCCCCAGTCCTGTTGGGAGAAACAGAAATACAGTATATTCTTTCATCACAACTCTTTATGAAAAAAATGTTTCTAAAGTAGCTACTCTGATTCCAGGTGATTTCTGATCATTTCAAAGGAGCCACTTCTTTCACCATAAGCATTGCTAATAGGTGGCAACTACACACAACACTTGCATCAAATGAGTAACTTAAACTGATGCTTTTTCCATCTGCTGTGTTGACTGAACAATCCACATGTAGTCGGTGGGCTTTACCTTCATAATCAAAATGATTTGCAGGACCATGTTATTCTTATCAGTTCTGCACATCCTACGATGAAGGAAAACAAGCGAGGAATTCTTTCTACTCCAGGGCTATCAGCTTGCACTCAGCAATTCAAATATGTTACAGTAAGGCAGCAGAAAGTAAAATTTGCAAGGAGTACTTGCATCAAGCAATACCCTTTCACCTACTCAAACCCAAACACAAGCTTGGATGCCAACTGGCACCCTCTGTCTATGAAGTTTGATGCTGCATAATAGCAGTGAAGAGACTAATACCCTTTCTAGATTATTTGGGATTGAATTACTTAGCTAAGTTTACAGAGGATGGTTTGTCCGCTTTTCCTCAGCTGATATATTAAACACCTAATACTGCATCAATGTGAAATGTCATATTTTCCCCTAAGACACACAAAAAGGTGAAAGCTATAGCACAAATTAAATTCTGTTGCACATAGACTAATTAGAAGCTGATCCCGGTATTCATGAGGTTTGCCATATGAACAAATTAATAACTATTTAATTCAATATAACAATAAATCCATATCAGATTTGCTGGACCATCCAGATCAAAGGATACATCTTTTGCACAATAAATCTACTTCAAAGGCAGACATCTATGGCTTTGAAAACAGAGAACACAAACTCATGTATTTCAAATACATTTCTTCCATGCTGGTTAAAGAGCCTAAATACAAAGAGTTTTTTTTCCTTTATGGAATAGGAATGCGTAGCTTCAAACTACAATTTTGTTTCCCTCTTCCTTTCAAATGTAAAAACTTCCCCTCCCCCACCAATAATGTAATTATAGCTTCATGTTTCTCTTGTTACAAAGAATTGAAATGTTGCACTGCCTTTTACCAGCTTCCTTGCCAGGACAGAATACAGAGGGATGTGTTTCTAGCTACAGTAATTACCTTAATTTTGTAGGAACACAAGATTGCTGTGTAATCGGCTATTACTAATGCAATTACTCTGAAAAAATGGCTCACAACAAGATGTGTCAGAGGTGCTTCTACATCAGCACAGATTGTAGTAATTCAATAATGAGTCACATTTGGTCTCTGAAGTGGGTAATACTGACTGGCAAACATCCACACTATAAAGAAGATATATGAAAGCAGCATTTTGGGGGTATGCTTATAGGGTAAGCTACAGGGTTTTGCAAATTCACCATATTCCTCTTGCTCTCCCCAAAATATTAGCAGTATTTCTGTGATTTCTGCTATAGTAGAGGGCTCAGTTCAGAGCCCCATTGTGTTAAGTACTTGCTCAGATCTGCTGCTTCTAGCTTCTTGTAAAGACCTGACTAAGATCCCATTTAAGTAAATGGACTAGATGTTTTATGGGCTGAGCCCGAAACAACTGGAAGATTAAAGGAAAAGCATAAGTCATCCTGTTATATAGAATGGATAAGAATTCTAATTCGAGAAGGTCCTTTTCCCTGAAACAAGGCCATGGAAGTTCAGCAAATCTCTTTCAGAACCTGCAGGAAGCCTGTAGCAGAGCTAAGAGAACTTAGTTCTCCGAAGTCCTCATGTTACTCCTTAGCCACAAAGCACAGAGCTCTGTGCTTTATTAGGAACAATTAACTACCAGCACATCTCAAAGGGCAGATCCGATATAGCTTCATTAGTTGCTGAGTGTGATTGTTAAAAGGAATGATAATAACTAAACAAAATCATGCCACAGCAGGTTGCCATGCTGCAACATTAGGAAATGGACACTTGTACACAGATGGTCTCCATGCTTCCTGTCCTACTGATTACATGCAGCTCAACAGAATGAACTGACTTAATGTTACTTTGCCACATAGCCAGAAATACAGATATTCCCAAAATACCAAACATACATATAAAGTCTAATTGCAACAGGTATCACAGTTATTTCTCCCTTTAAAAAAATAATCTTGGAAAAAAACAAAACAAAAACAAAAACAAAAACCAAAAAACACAAAGAAAATTCGCCTAAAGGCAGAAGTCAAATTATGACAAATTATGAGTTTTATTGTACAGCAAGATTGCTAACACTGTCAGTGCAGTAAAACATAACATTATTCATCTAATTATTTTATATGTGTTCAAAGTTCATCACTTTCAGTAATATTCATTACTTCTTAAGGTACAGATGCCCAGACTTAGCCAGCTTTAACCCAATAGGGTAGAAGTGTGAGAAACTACCACATACTGCAGACAAGGGAAAGGCCCAGCCACAATCTGAGCTAACCTAACAGAATAACATGAGAAGTTTTTAGATATAAAATACTGAAAATGTAGAACCAAGAAGTCCCTTTGAGTGAAAAATGAAAATATTGTTAAGAAGCACGTGCTGATTTACTGCAGTCACCAGCAAGATTGAAACTATCAAACAAGGATGGAGAAAGTGGAGGAAGAAGGAATGATGGTGAGTGTAAAATGGTGACACATTGTCTATTTGTTTTCTACTGAACAGATCTTTGCCTAACCAAATCAACCTGGAGCAGCACAATATACCTGTTGTGCTGACCACACTCTGAGGATCCCAGTGCTGTGAGAAGCCTCCACCTCCACCCATGAGTTGTTCTTAAGCTCAAATTTTGCTCCTTCCTGAGCTACTTCTCAGACATACCTATGCCCACCTACACACCATGTTGATCTTGGCTCACTGATTTGAATTCCTGGTTTGACTTCATATTTACCTCATCACTACAGACTTGCCTAGCAACAAGCAGATCATTTTATTAGTCCCAAGAGCTCTTCATGCTGAGGCACCACGCACATTGCTGGTGTGCATTGTTGGCACAGAGAGCTGGATCTTCAAACACAGTCCCTTGTTGATGATGTGTACAGTTTCAAAGAGCCCACAGAACATCTGCTTTACATTCCCCAAACACTTCCCAGCAGTTTGTTGTACATTTCACTCACAACTCAAGAGATTCAAAACAAAACTGTGATACAGAAAGAATCAGAGACTGAGAGCATCAACAACAGCAGATAAGTTTTGGAACTGGTGAAACATAAAAAATTTCACAGATGATCCTACATAGACCTACATTATAAAAGAAAATTTTTAAAATTCCCTGTGAATTCTGTATCTTATGTGGCTGAAAAATCATTCATGATACTGAAGTGATCAATTTGAGCATGCACAATTAAACAGGAGAATTTATATCTCTGAGAAAGAGAATACACTCTGTTTGCATCTTTCCTCAGCAGGTCACAGTATTAAGCATTGAGAGGTTCTAAGAATGACATATCAAAGAGAAAAAATATTTTTCTGGGTGCCATAGATGACTAGTAAAAGCTGAGAAGTATGAGATTAATGCAAAGCAAATACAGCATAATATACTATCTCTCATTTTGAAAATCCCCTGAATATGCCAAAACACAGAAACCCAAACTCCTGTGCCACACACCCAGCAAACATGCTTAAATTATGCAATTATTTCTACATAAAAGGGCTACGTCTAAATGCAGTGCTGGACTGTCTTCCCACTGATATTCCATTACATCATGAGTGTCCTTTTGGCTTGTCTGGCCACACTGAACAAAGACACATCTGCAAAGTTTGCTGCATCTGCAAAGGTTGGTGTGAAAATAATGCCTCTTAATTATTTCCATGAAAATTAAAAACAATGTAAAGAGTACAATCACACTATTTACTAGAGCAAATTCTCAGCTACAAAACACTGTTTTTCAATAGTCACCACCATTAGGTATGCATTTTCACCAGCAGTGAACAAGAGCCTGCATGCCCGTGTTTATAACAATCTGCACCAGCAGAGATGAGCCACTGCTGCTGTTGCCACTGTTGAAGCACACCATTCACCACCTCATTGTGCTCACATCTACTGTTTCATCACCATAGACATTCAGCAAGCATTGATGAATTTCAGTGGCTGCAACTTTTTCCATGTGGAGGAAACCAATTCCATACCTTTACTTCATGTCGATGTCAGATGCCATTTTGTCAGACTGCCCCTCTGCTGCCATCTGTCTCACAGCAACAAGATGTAACAGAATGTTGGCAGGAAGGTTCAACCTCTACGGTCACACCACCAACATCCACCTCTGACACTGTGGGCCAATATAATAAAATAGGAAGCATTACTTTCAGAGTAGCCTTCATAAAATAAATGTAATATGGTTAATGCATATAAGTAACAAACTTATTTTAATTTTTTCTTTTAATTAAAATGTATAAAAAAGAAAGCAACAAAACTAACACATCAGTCTGGTTTGATGGCAGTGGCTGCAGTTCTAAGTATGTTCTCAAGGTGTTTGTCAGATTTTTGATGAAAAAGATCTTTTTTTTTTTTCACTTTTCCTGTGTTTCATCCTTGAAAAGTTGTTTACAAATGTACATACAGCAAAAGAAATGACATGAATAAGGCCTGACTGCAAGGCCTTTCTCTCTGGTAAGAGAGGGCTTATAGAAGTCTGGTAAGGAGCATGGTCAGATCTTGGATTGCAACTCTAAACATTCCTCTTGCAAATAACATATTTATGTTGACTGAAAATGAAGTTTCAAATAAACCAAAATATTTTTTTTTCTTGCACTTTTGAATACTATTCTCAAATTCCTTTATGAAAACGGAAAGCAAGGCTGCATATTTTTGCTGTTCACAGGACTTTTCAGCCAATGTATCAAAATCCATAAAATTCTTTGCCATAACTTCAGTTGTCACTGCACTGCATCCCCCCTCCCTTACCCCCACTACAGCCCCTACACTGGAAATCTTGACAACAGTTTACCAAGCATTTGAAGTACTCTGACATATCCATTGTTAAAAACTGAAATAGAAAAAAGATGTTTGATGAGAATGTTTCCTTTAAATAAGTTTGCAGTTGTAGCCATTAAAATAATCTCAACTTTATCCATCTTAAAAAAAAAAATTTAAAAAAAGGAAAAAAAAAGGAAGATTTCTTGCTATTTGCTATTTCAATAAGGCTAAAGATACTGGCAGTTTCAAAAAGATCAGGACTTTTTTTATCTTCAGAGTTAAAATATAATTAGTTCATGGAGTTATGAACCCATGGGCTTGCTCATTCTTTTTAAAAAATATATTAAGAAATATCAGAGACAGCTCTTGCCTAAGGGTGCTGCTGAAAGCTGCAGCTCAAGTCTTATCTAACTCATTTTCCTTACTTTGCTATTTGCACTACATTTATACCTCTCCCGAGCTTGCACTTCTACCTTATACATTTAGCTGTAGAATTTCTTACCTTCCCCACCACTCATCTCCCTCACTTTAAATAAATTTTATTTCTCCACTTATTTATTTAGAGTCTATTGACTCTACAGCTGTGTGTGCTCTTCTAACTTCATGACTGGGACAAACATTTTAAGACAATGCCATTATGTAGATTTTAACTCCAAAATAAAAGGAAATGGTCTTAGGAAGTGAAGAATCAAGGAAGGAGTGGTACATTGAGGTGGTACCATGTCCCATTTGGAGCACTTTGAGAACCCATTTTCTCCAGCAACCTTCAGCAGTCCCCAGCAGCAATTATTAAAAACAAAGACATATAATCCAATCCATTCGTATATCAACTACCACTCATTAAAAAAAGCCCTACCTCTTAATAAAAAAAAATTTAAATAGCATGCAATCAGATCTGCTATCCTACCAAGAATTACAAATCAACACACACAGAGAATATCTTTATTCTTTCAAGCTTAAAAGCCAAAAATATCCAAGCAAATATTAAACAAGCACAAAACATCTAAAATTAAAGAGCATTAACTTTTATATAATCTGTCAAATCATTTAGATGATAATATGGTAGCAATAAGAGAAATAAGTTGCCAAATCAGAGAAGACACAAAGCTAAATCAACAGATTTGCCTGCCATCAGTGGAAGTTGAATTTGCTTCACAATCATTAACAACCAAACTAAGATAGCAACTTCTTTCTCAGTGCTTATTGGCTCTCCACTCATATAAACATTCAACAAAATCATTCTAAGTTAAACTTACTTTAAACCGGAGTCTATGCAAAGACTGAACAATTGGCCCAGAAAACCTCAAGTTTCACTTACATCAGCATAATTCAGAAAGAATGCAGCTGAAGTCAGTGAAATTAGTCCTATGAAAATTCCAGGTAAGATCATTTAGACTGACAATACATCAGTATTACTACTCATTGACTTTATAATACGTTGAACATAGTTCAACTTTCAGTCTTTTAATTGCAAATGTAGGATCTGGGATAAACACCTCCCATATTCCTCCATGATCATGCGTTCAGCTAGACAGACAGAGTAACCTCCTTTTTCTGCCTCTTCAGCTTGCACCAGGAGACGAGCACATGTTGCTTTCACATCTTCCAAAGAAAGAGATACAGCTGGTTCCCTGACATGGAAAAAGAAACTAGTATAAAATCAATGCATTTTAAATACAGAAAATAATTTAAAAGACAAACTGCAAACCTCTTATCCAAGAGTTGGAACGCACAGAGCTGGCTCAGGCTAGTTGCACTGTTACTGTGAGACACATCCCTGTAGAAATCTCAGTTTTACACTGAATAGCTTTTATTTCCAATGGTTTGCTTCTGAATTTTTCTAATTAATCACATGGAAAACTGTGTTCACACCACAGAGTTGATCTCTACAAATGCTGATCAGTTAAATGTAGCAGGGAAAGATTATACAACAAGCCGCTTTTTAGTTAAGCAAGCAACAGTCAGATCCTACACCATGTACAAAGAAATATGTTACAAAGTCTTAGTCAGAATCTAGGAGGTACTAACTGTATCAGATTACTGCTATTAAAAGAAGTAGAATCAAGTCTCTCAAGGGTTCTCTGAATGCCACTTTACCAACATTTCTTTGAAAAAAACTCTTGAAACTACCAGTTGTTAACACCATAACTCCTGCTACATTAACACTCACTCTATTAGAACCATCTATCCAATCAGTATATTACCCACAGCAGAAATTATTCAAATATTTTCAAAAGAGATCATCAGAATATTTTTAAAACAGAATTGGCATAAGAATTTTAAGGCAGTGGTTAATGCAAAGAAAATACTGTATGCAAACTGAGAATTTAAAAGCCCAGAGTAAATCTCACAAAAATAAAATGTGCTTTAATTAATTTGAACTGTTATTAACAGGCATTTTTCTTTATTAAGCTAATGACTACAAACAAACAACCAAAAATACAATTGCATTAATAAGTATAATATTAGGATAGTATGGCCTTCTTGAAAAACATTACAAGCAAACTGCCAAAATAAAATTGACAAGTAGTGAGTCAAAGGAAGAAGAGATGGAAGGAGAAGTGGTATAAACATGCTCATTAAATGAAATCCACAAACATTTTAACATACCTCTAGGAGCAGTTTTGTAAGGAATAAATGGGAGTCAGGGAAAGAAGAGAATTGAGTACGTGATCAGTACAAAAATAAGTGCTGTTTTTTTTAAGCAAAACTCATATCCCTGAACTCTTCATATTATATTCCTAAAGGATAGGAACAACCTCCCCCTTAGATATTTTTTATATACTTAGGAGGGCAAAAACTATGTGACTTCTTTTATATAAACTGTCATTTTAGTCACCATTTCTTAGATAAATACAATAAAAATTCATTAATTAATAATAATCCATTGCAGATTAAAATCGTTTTGGATGTGGTGCTCAGGGACATGATTTAGCAGAGGGTTGTTAGAGTTAGGGTAATATGGTTACGTTGCGATTGGACTCAATGATCTTGAAGATCTTTTTCCAATCTGAGCAGGTTGAAATAAATGAATAACAGCTAACTGAAAAATTAACGAAGTCAGATTGATGAATTGTCTATTATATTTCCAAATATTCACCTGTCTTTCTCCAATTTTGGTGAAATTTCAAATGTTGTTGTCAAAAATGGGTTATTTTCATCATTATTTCCAATATCCATGTAGTTTAGTGTGGTCAGCTGGGTTTTTTTATCTGGATTCTCTTCGTAATTTTTGCAACCAATGCATTTGCAAATAGAGGAACACACAATCTTTGCCTGGCAAATATAGAATATTTAGAATAAAAATGTATAAAACTTGAATCAAACATACAGTTGAGCAACAACTAGAGTTAAATCTCCAGGATTTATTCTAGATGCGCGTGTCTTGGACACTCCCAGAGAGAGACAATCATTATAAATGTAAGGAAGCAAGTTTGTTCCTTGCAGAAATCCTTTTTGGAGAATGATGATTCTCTTTGCTCTGTATATTGGACTAATCAATGCCTCCTCCACAAATCTGTGGTTTGAGCAAAGACTATCTGAGTTGGAAGAAATACATTCCTCTTCTCATCTGGAACACTGCACTAGCTAAGAGCCCATGATACTGAACATTTTAACTGATTAACTTCAGCTAGAATTAATTATTTGAAGTCATGAGAAGACATGGCAAGAGAGAGTCTGCTTCCCTTCCGTTCAAAAAAAAATTATGATGAACTATTCAAAGAGATGAGTAATTCTAAAAAAAGACTACTGTTTACAGAATACAACGAATGTTAATGTGATAACCACTGACAGAGAAATCCAAGAGACTCACCTCAAAGCACTCGCAATAATTCTTGAGACATCCTGAACGCTTGCAGTTACATCCTTTGTTATGGTGAGGTTTAATATCTCCCAGTTTGCTTTGTCCAATCTTTGGTAGAAAAGCTTCTGGGTTTCTATCAAGGCAGACCTAAAACAAAAAGCGTTACGTTAAGAGACATTCAAAGACTGTTTTATAGCATCTGAGTGACACCCAGTATTTAGCAAAGAAATTCTTATTTTCACTTAGTGATAAGAGGAACATATATAAGTTTCCCAAAATGTGCAAAGGCAAAAGATTCCAGAATACAGAGCTGAGTGGGATATATCATGATTTTATGGAACATCCTAAATCCAGCTTGTGACTGGTCACGACTAGTGTTCCCCGGGGTTGGTGCTGGGGCCTGTCCTCTTCAATATTTTTATTGATGACCTGGATGAGGGTGTTGAGTGCACCCTCAGTAAATTTGCAGCTGACACCAAGTTGGCTGGAAGTGTTGATCTGCCTGGGGGTAGCAAGGCCCTACAGAGGGATCTGGACAGACTGGATAGCTGTGCTGAAGCCAAAGGGGTGAGGTTCAACAATGCCAAATGCCGGGTTCTGCACTTTGGCCACAAAAACCCCAGGCAACACTACAGACTTGGGGTAGAGTGGCTGGAAGACTGTGTAGAGAAAATGGACCTGGGGGTGGCCAAGAAGGCCAATAGCATTCTGGCTTGTATCAGAAACAGTGTGGCCAGCAGGAACAGGGAAGTGATTGTCCCCCTGTACTCAGCTCTGGTGAGGCCGCACCTTGAGTACTGTGTCCAGTTTTGGGCCCTTCACTGCAAGAAAGACATTGAGGCCCCAGAGCGTGTTCAAAGAAGGGCGACAAAGCTGGTGAGGGGTCTGGAGCACAGGCCTTATGAGGAGCAGCTGAAGGAGCTGGGGTTGTTCAGTCTGGAGAAGAGGAGGCTCAGGGGAGACATTATTGCTTTCTATAACTACCTGAAGGGAGGTTGTAGTGAGCTGGGAATCGGCCTCTTCTCTTGTGCAACTGGTGATAGGACTAGAGGGAATGGCTTCAAGCTACACTAGGAGAGATTCAGGCTGGACATTAGGAAATACTACTTCTCTGAAAGAGTGGTCAGGCACTGGAATGGGCTGCCCAGGGAGGTGGTGGAGTCACCGACCCTGAAGGTGTTCAAGGAACGTTTGGATTTTGTGTTGAGGGACATGGTTTATTGAGAACTATTGGTGATATGTGGAGGCTTGGACTGGATGATTTTGTAGGTCTTTTCCAACCTTGATGATTCTGTGATTCTGTAAATGACCCACCCATTTGTTATTTTTTGGGGGCTGTTTTTGTCTCTCTGCTGATACTACTTTCACCAGAAAGAAAAAGATTTCAGTGAAAAATGAACCCATCCATATATAGCTATAGGCATCTCAGAGTTATTAACCATGTAATGGTCTAATACAAAGCTGATACTCAGAAATCAGCACTGGCTATTCCACTGGACAGCAGCTTTTTTCAGGTTCTACTATCTCACTGTGTCATGCCATATATGTCAGACTAAAGGGATTCTATGTACTTTACGTACAATATTTAAGAGAGGCACAGAAACTGATATGCTTTTCTGAAGGACAAATGATCTCTCGTGCTCTACCATGATGCTATCTGCGGCAGTGAAAGGAGTGCTTGGACTGCTACAACATCACCAATTCAACTGCTGAGAAGCATTTGAATTCAAAACTCAGTTGTAGCATATCAATACCAAAAACTAGTGTGGCTTTGCCTGGTTGGATTCAGCAAAATTCTAATTAAATGAACTTCTTGTACAGTCCAGAGATGATGTGAATGATACAAAAGAAATCTGGAGAGCTGCACACAAGAAACACAAACCCACCAATATGTCCTTATTTTAGAGTATCAGTAGATAAAGATGTTTCATTTTCACTCTAAACCTCACATAACAGATATATATTTGTATAAAATAAATAATTGACCAAATTATGCAGTTTGATAACTTACAAAAGTTAGCCCCCGTACTGTTCAGTATTCTACTAATAAAATCAGTTTCCAAATGTGGAGTCTCACTGCTTCTCAGAAGTAAAGGTTTCAGTGCTGTTGTGATGAGCACTAGCTTTGCTTTGCATTGTTGTTTAGTCAACCAGAAAGACTAGTAGAGACAACTACAAGGGATATGCAAATTAAAATAATAATAATTCATAAAATGATAATTTCATAGAATCATAGAATGGTTTGGGTTGAAAAGGACCTTTAAGATCGTCTAGTTCCAGCCTCCTGCTATAAGCAGGGACACCTCTCTCTACACCAGGTTGGTCACAGCCCCATCCAGTCTGGCCTTCAATGCTTACAGGGAGGAGGCATCCACAGAATCTCTGTACAACCTGTTCCAGTGTCTCACCATCCTCACAGTAAAGTATTTCTTCCTAATATCTAGTTTAGATCTACCCTCTTCCAGCTTTAAACCATTTCCCCTCATCCTGTCACTTGCTCTTCTAAAAAGTCCCTCCCCAGCTTTCCTGTAGGTCCTATATAATGCTCCACAGACCTTCTCTTCTACAGGCTGAAGAGCCCCCCAGCTCTCCTCTCTCAGCCTGTCCTCATAGGGGAGGTGCTCCAGCCCTCTGATGATCTTCATGGCCCTCCTCTGAACCTGCTCCAACAGCTCCATGCCCTTGTGTTGAAGGACACAGAACTGGAAGCAATACTCCAGGTAGAGTCTTATGAGAGCTGAGCAGAGGGGCAGAATCACCTCCCTTGACCTGCTGGTTGCACTTCTCTGATGTGACCCAGGATACAGTTGGCCTTCTGGGCTACAAGTGCACATTGCCAGCTCATGTTGAGTCTTTCATCACCCAACATCATCAACCTAATTCTGACTTGGGACACAAATTTTCCTTCAAGTGAAAACATTTTCTGAAATTAAATTTAGAGTTGCACATTTTGTTCCAAGATCATTCCATTAATATACCACTAGCTATAATCAAAAGTATCAGAGGCTCCTTAAAAGTAAATTAAAAGAGAAAAATGTTATTTTTTTAATATAAGAAAAAATATAGCAGCAGCAGTTGGTGATATTTTGTATAAAAATAACATATTTCAAAGACTGCATCTAGAGGAAAAAAACAATACTAGTGTGATATATACAGTATTTTTTATATATTTTTACCTTAATGGCTTTAAATCGTTCAGTTTCATGAAGTGGATTGTTGTAACAATTATTGCAATTGCAGTTGTTGCAAAAGTCACCACTGGCAAAGCATTCACAATATCTACAATCAACATATAAACACAACTTCAGAAACGAAAAGATTAACTGGTTTTAAATGTTATTCTACTTCAAGGCAGAATTTATAGCTCCTACCCCTCCTCTGTTATTTAATCATATTCAAATATACTCAGAGACCTTCTCTCTCACTCGTTCATTTTCACATTTTTTTTAAATCACCCACTCCACAAATGAATCAAATTTTAATCCTCATGTACACATCTGTGTGCATTTTACGTATGCATGTAAATACATAATAAGACTCTGCATAATAGTTATGTAGATTATTGCTGTACAGAAGTGAGATAGAGAAATGATACTTCAATATACAGCATTTTCACACTATAAATGATTTTCTAGAGCAATGCCTTCTAGGTTCTCTTCATATTTTCCATGTTTTTAATTATGTTAGTCATCCACAACTACACCCTGAATTGTGAATTTGTGAGATACTAGTTGACATTAACTGTTGATCTTTAACTAAAGATCAGATGAGCAATTTTTGCCCCATATGGCTTTTCATTAGAATACATTTATTGTATGTTTATTCTTTCAAATATACACTGCTATTAATATTTATTAAATGTTGATAAGCTATTACTCACAATTTAAGACACTGAGATTTTGTGCAGTTACATGGTTTCTTAGACTTTGTAATCCCCGAACCAAAAGGTAGGCTACACAGATTGAAAGAGGAAGAAAATAAGAAAAAGAAACATACAAATCATAAATTGGTCTATACTTTTGAAACTTTGCAATGTTCTCCCTGTGACCAATTGCAGTGCTATCTTAACAATTGTGGAGTCAAAAAACAAGTGACAAAAAGAGAAGACAATCTCCTGTGATCCACCAGTTGTCATTACTAGGGACAGGTCAGCAACTACTCAGAACCCAGTAACTGCAGTGCAACTGCAAAAAATCTGTCACACCGGGCTCACATCTGCCTTGCATTAAAAAATCATCTGCAATTAAGGTTTATTAAAAGAATCCCATTAGTGTTAGAAATATGAGCTAAACACATGTTAATTATATTTTAAAACATATCAATTAACTCAGAAAATTAAATGTTTTTCGGACACATTTACAGCACAGTTGCATTGATTCCAAGAAACCCTGGAAGCCTTGATAATCAGTAAATGGAATAATGGCTACCATGATATGTACACAAATCACTCTTACAAAATTGCATGAGAAGCAGACACAAAATGTCTAAGAGTCTTTGTCAGTATAAAATTCAAAGTTCATAATGGACTAAGTGTTGCAAGCATCTTACCCAGCTGAAGTCATTTTCACTTGCAGATTTGATTCTGGTTGGAAAGCGGAAGTGCTAGCGACTGATTGTAAGTATTCGTGTTCAAACTGTTCAAGATAAAATATATATAGCTTGCTTATATTATATTTTAGAATCAGACTACTGTGAGTTAAAAAAAGTAACACAATGTTCTGATGCTTTGTTTGCCACGTAAAGCGATAAAATTCACAGAAGCATAAGGCTGTGAAAACTGCATGCATTTCTCTTTGAAACTGCTCAGTACATCAGGATACCCGCTTCTGCCAGTGTAAAGTATCAAGAACAGCCACCAGTGCTGCAGTATTTGCACATTGTTCTCAGTGTACTGATAATTCTAAGTTCAGTTGCTTTTAATTGCAGTAATCAACAAAAACTGGCCAGTGACTTGATGATGTTCATTGTGTTCAGCTGCAATATGGCATTTAATTGGTTGAAGACTAAACAAATTAAACAAAATGTATTAGCTAACAGCCATCAAAACAGAATGCAGATCTATTTTCTCTTCAGACAGAGAGGGTCCAGCGGAGGGCCACTAAGATGACCAGAGGGCTGGAGAAAAGGCTGAGGGAACTGGGCTTGTTTATCTTGGAGGTCTCCAGGGAGACCTCATTGCAGCCTTCCTGTGCTTGAAGGGAGCATATAAACAGGAGGGGGAACGGCTGTTTACATGGGTGAATAGTGATAGGACAAGGGGGAATGGTTTTAAACTGAGACAGGTGAGGTTTAAGTTAGATATTAGGAGGAAGGTTTTCACACAGAGCTTGGTGACTGGAACAGGTTGCCCAAGGAGGCTGTGGATGCCCCATCCCTGGAGGCATTCAAGGCCAGGCTGGATGTGGCTCTGGGCAGCCTGGTCTGGTGGTTGGCGATCCTGCACATAGCAGGGGGTTGACCACAATAATCATCTAGTTTCCTTTTCCACCCAGGCCATTCTATGATTCTATGATATAATAGCCTAGTAGAACAGGTACAAGGAAGTGCTGCGATTACTTGTAAACAATAGTTATTCTAACTAGTTATCAATAGCTGCCAATAAGGAAGAAGAAAATTAATATATTTAAAGCAAGAGAAGAAATCTAAGGAACAACAGGCTGCGGATAAAATCAGAGAGAGAGAACTGCAATCCTGTCTGCATCTCTAGAACGTTTAGGCACCAATTTGTCAGTACTCTACTTTTAGTGATGAAAGACTCTATAGTTCATTGCTCCATCTGGCCCTTGGGTTTTTAATTTCCTCTTTCACGAGGGTGTCTGTTACCCACAAACCATCTGCTGTGTTTGTACTGACATTACATTCATTTAACACAAATCAGAAGTTAACAAGTAAACATTTGCAATGATTTTTGCTACCAGCTCTGTTGGAATTGAGAAGAGAAATCAAACATCTGCAAAGATTTTTAGTCTTCTGTTTTCATTTTTAAAAATAAATTGAAATACAATTCTATCATTCCATTAGCAAATAATAATTGAGAAAATTATAAAGACTTACTGACTATTAAGTCCTAGTCAACAAATACAGAGCAAGGAATCCTACTGGAAGAAAACATTCTCCTGGTAAAAGTCAATGTGTTTTCCTTCACCTCTCAAAAGTGTTATAGAATAGTTCTCAGAAATAATGTAATTTGCATAAATACCAAATTCAAGTCTGAAAAATTGGAATTGCACTTTTAAATTCTGTTATTATTTACAGAAAATTCTCAAATCGGAAAATTTGTACATAGGAAGCACACAGGATTGTAAAACTAACCTGTCTAAACTGGCTAAAATGTATTTAGAAAATGCATACAATTGTTACTTCCTAACATTAGACACAAGAACCTATTTTAAAAAAAGGAAAGTTTATACTCTGCTTTATATGTGACAAGAATAAAGTTGCTTTACCTCTTGTTTGTTTGAATCCAGATTACCTGAAACAGGCAAAAGCTGCCCCAGTACAGCTGTTACAGGGCTGCCCACATCTGAAAAGATGACATTTAACTGACTGCTCACAATGTGTAAAGTTTAATTTATGCATTCAACTTTTTCAAATAAGCATACAAGCAAATGGGTAATTTCGACTTTTTGTATTAATAAAAAATAAAAAAACTAGCCCACATTATTTCCTGACAGTGTCTGTCTTTTTGCATTATCTACTCAATTTAGTGTGGGGAGCAAACTTACTCCACAATTGTATCAAAGAAGGACCTAGAAGTTCATTCTTCAGAAAAGTTTTTCTCAATTAGAGAAAGAAAACAAGACAAGACAAAAAGACTCCTTTACAGAAGAACTCAACTCTTCACCAATTTTTTAGCTAGGAATGAGGACAGATGCTTTTACTCTATGACATTAAGTACATTTAATTAGAAACAGCATAGACTTATAATATTTTGATATGAAAAATGACCAAAACAGATGTTTATCCTGAGCTCTTCTGTTATGAATTTCCAGAATTCTGTCAGAGTATCTAGAAAGGAGGTATTTAGCCTATTAAAAAAAAAACAACAGCAAAGAAACAACAACCAAAAATCCATGAAGAAATCCATAGCTGTAAGAACAGAGTTTTGTGCAAGTCCCAGTGAGGCATTGCATTTAAGGAAATCAGTATCTTAGGCTATGTAGAAAAAAAGTAAGCATTACTCCATTAGTCTTACTGAGATTACAAGATTAATCCAGGTTTAAAGAAACTTTTAGATACAACTTCTGGACCTACACCTTTTACTTACTGGGAAGATCAGTAAAATGAAATAAAGCTTGGGCAAATAAAAACTAAAACAAACAAAAAGTCGGTGCTCTCCTCAGATTTTTCTTCCCTAATGTTGCAGCAAATTAATGAGAGCTTGAATGTTTTTTATAGACACCTTTTCTTTAATTTGAATGTACCTGATTTATTCTTCTGATAAATATAAATAAACATGCTCCATAACTAGGGCATCTGCTGAGATTCAAGCACTCAGCATCTACTGACACCATGAGCAGTACGTGTATGGTGCTCACTAATGAAAGACTTTGTTTTCACAATGAGATTGATACACACCACTGAAATAAGAAGATACTGATAAGTGAAGTAGTAATGTTTATGTTTCAGTGGAAGCTATATTTGGTTACCCAAACTTAAAGTTTAAGTAAACTTAAACCTCTCTTAAGTGGTGTTGCTCCTAAGATGAAAATGTATTGTCCCACTAAATATCTGAATAGCTAAACAATGAACTTTGAGATTTCAGAAATCATCTTTAAAAACGGATGGAACTTCACGTTCACTGAATGACAGAAACATTTGTGAGACATTTGGAAACCCAAGGCTGGAGGATATCCAGCAGCCCTCAATGATGCTCTTCATGTATAGTGAAACAGTGACACCTCGTGGTATGCTTGGGTAAATGCAACTGTATGCAAGCGCTTTCTGCTAAGCCTTTTCATAAAATAAGTTGATCTGTATATTAAAAATTATAATTACACTCAACACATCCATTGCATCGGTTTCATAACATTTAAAGGCCTAGTTTTTAATTACTAAAAAATAAAATAAAACAACTTGTGATAGCTATACTAGCTTCATCTCACCTCTGCTCACTGCTGATTAAGAAAATAAACACCTGCACTTGCAAGTTAACTACGATCTGCTATCTGACATGCTAGAGACAACTTTAACTTTGATTTTACCAGATTGAAGATAATTACGTTGGTCTTCATACTGTGAAATGAGATGAATTGTTTTTAGATCCTGTGTGCCACAATCCTTTATGCAGAGTATTTGAGTACCTCCTTCCAGTTGGCAGATCATCTGGAAGAAGTAAATAATGATAGCCTCCCATCTAAGAAACTGTAATTCTAAGCATATAGACAGAACCGTTTTTGTAAGAGTAGCATGCTTCATAAAGCTGCACCATCACACACCGAAGTCGCTCAGACAAATGGATCATTGTACACAAAAGTGTTTGCTTTTTGACCCTTTCAATTTGTTTGGCTTTGGAAGCAGCTGTGATACTGTAGCTCTTCAACTTAGGGTGATTGCACTCCTGATTCTCTAAACTGTTCTGTGAAGCTTTACATAACATATTCTAGCCAGTTTTCTACTATGCTGGCCTAACATTCAGTTCACTACCCAGAACAAACCCCATTTCACTTCAGTGTTTCATGACATTTATTAAGATGCAACTGTAAATCAAGACTGTTCCTTTGTGAAATAATCTTCATATTACTGTATGTAGCTTTCAAATAGAAAATAACATTTTATATGTAAAACAGCACTTTGACTAAATAAAAATTAGTCTCTGAGTCTGAGAAAAGTACTGTCTAATCAGTCTTGACACGAAACTTACTAAGTGGGATTTTGGTGCATGCATGGTACAAGCAAGTTAATGTTTTCTTAGCATATAATTCTTCTATCAGTTACCAGACGTAAATTACCAGAGGGCTGGAATAATTTCTGTGTAAATACTCAGGTTCCTCCGCCACACTATGCAGTGCTAATAACTCGCAGTTAGACTCATCAATATTTGAATTCTGAAAAATTGCTCCATCTTCGTGATTCTCCGTAACATTTCTAATTGCATCTCTTACTTCAGTCTGAAAAAAAGAAGTGTTATACCTTAACAGGCACTCCTTAAAATCTTGACTGAATTCCAGGCGTATATCATGAATTTAGAAATCAAATGCATACTTACTATTTCATCATAGACAGAAGCACTAGTCTGAGGCAAGCCGTAGACACCACTGGAGCATTCTTGTACAAGAAATAAAGAAAGTTTTGTTTATTAAGATATCTGTTTGCTTTTGTTTGGTTTTAATGCCAGGAGCTCACTCACAGTATCAAGGATATTTTGATGTCACTGCAGCTTTTACAGTCTTATAATATTTAATATTCTGTTGTAGCAGACTTTGGAAAAACAGGCTTCCATATGTGTTTGATGCCTCTAACAGGTTTATCATGACCGTCTGGTAAAAGTCATTTAGCAATGACATTACGTTAGCGAGGCTGATGTGTACGTCAGCTTCCACTGGAAAACTGTACTGCTATCATACAAAGAACAGCTGGGAAACTTAATGCATTATAAAGAACAAGGGAAAATCAAAAGTAAGCCTGAATTTTGTTGCTGAAGCAACAAGAACACACATGAACAAACACTGATCTGTTTCAAAATGTTCTCCTTCCAGACTTTCTTAGCTCTATGAACGTTATTAGCAGGGGCTCATGCTGCAACCTTCCAAATCCAGAAATTACTTTATTTAGACATTCATACCCTTTTCTAACCCTGTAAGAGGACTTAAAATAAAGTAATAAACAAACAAATAAATAATCCCACTCAGACACCTGTGGCACTTACCATTAAAGCAATCTGGCAAATTTTTTGACTGCATAGGACTGTTTTGGATTCCTTTAAACTGATCATAATAAATACAGTTATTCTCATCTTCAGCTGGAGATATTAATGATCTGAACACCTGAAGAAAAGAATGTTTTATAACTACTTTATATATTACACATCTCCTTTAAAAATAAAAAAACCCAAACAAACACAGAGGTAAACAGAAACTGATTTTTAGTGATCTTCAAATTGGAAATTATTTGCATTTCTAAATTATAATTAAGCACATAAATGCTGCGGAATAACCAGCATTACCAGATACTATTGACACGTGACTTTTTCTTCTCCTTCTTCTGTTCAGTGTGCAGTTATGTTTTAGATCTAATACTTTTGTAACTATAAGAGCATCATACCTAACACCTACATTTCAATTTTCCATAATAAAGTAGATGAACAGAAATGGAACAAATAGAAACCAACTATTTTGTAGTTTCAAATTAGAACTAAGATTTTTTTGAACCAGACAAATTTTTTTCCATCTCTGTTCCCTGCTTTCTCTGCTTAGTACAGACAGTAGCTCAGGGGGATAAGCAAGCAGTATAGAAACAGCCAACTGGCTTTAATTCAGTAAAATTAGTATTCATAACATGATTATAATTTTGTTCTAATACTTCCAGGAAACATAGCAGATGAAGGAAACTGATTCAGTGTGGTAAACTGTAAGGATAACAGGAAAAGAGATGGTCAAGAGATTCTAAATTTCATTTTTAGACCATTGTGTAGAAGTGAGCCAAACACATTTTCGTTACCTGCAGCTTGACTCTGAAGAAAGGAACTACTACACCCTAATCATACATATTCTTGAGAGATTTGAAACTTACTAATAGTTCCAAAGAATGAAGAGTTTGATTATTAAAGAACTACTGATAATGTGGGACATGCATTTAAAGAATCTCTGAAGCTAGAGATCTTCGTAAACTTTAACCTGAAATCAGAAAGCAAGCTAAAACATATAAGGTTAATGTCAAGGTAGACTTCAAACACTTTCAGATGAAATGGCACTGGGAAATGCCACACAGCTGCCACCTGATTTTCAGTCCAGCACCTTGTTGGGATACCGCAAGAAACAAACTTTAGACCAATTCTCAACCAAGTGATTTTTGTTAGTTTTTGGTGGGTTTTAATGCCTTTTTGAATTTCTGAACCTTAGAGTAGCAATGTTTATTAAAATATTTACATTGGAAAGAAACGTCAACTGGTATACTTAGTTATTTCAAAATAACTTCTCAGAGGACACACAGTATTCCCCCAGAAGCTGCCTACGGAGCACAAGCTGAGTTAGGTGATTTCTTCAGAAGATATTCTACAACCATAAAGAAAGATACAAGCACATCTAAGTACTGTAAGTATGAATAGTCTGCATTAAGCAGATGGATTTGACCCCCTGACCATCACTAAAAGTTTAATGCTGCGCATCTTTATAGGCAGTAATTAATTCAATATAGATGATGTTACCTTCAAAGCACACCATTTACAAAACTACTTTCTCTACAGATATTTAACAACACAGGCCACAGTTTACCATTGCAAATAAATTAATTTCAAACACATTCAGAGCACACTAAGATGACAAGCATGTCACCTGTGGAACTAAAGAACAGAAGTTAACATAATGGAGAAGGCTCTGGGGAAACCTCATCTTAGCTTTATGACATTTGAAGGGAGCATAAAAACAAGAGGGTGGAATGGTTTAAAATTAAGACAGGTGAGGTTTAGGTTAGATATTAGGAGGAAGGTTTTCACACAGAGGGTGGTGAGGCACTGGAACAGGTTGTCCAAGGAGGCTGTGGATGCCCCATCCCTGTATGCATTCAAGGCCAGGCTGGATGTGGCTCTGGGCAGCCTGGTCTGCTGGTTGGTGACCCTGCACACAGCAGGGGGTTGAAACTAGATGATCATTGTGGCCCTTTTCAACCTGGGCCATTCTATGTTTCCACTTTGTACAACTATCAGATGGTTGCTAATACCAACAGTAATATATAAAAGTGAAGCAGGTACTGCATGGTAACATTTTTTCTTAATAAGCAAAATACCCAGCCATTTAAAAATAGTGCTCCCAAACACAGGCAAAAAAGAACAGCAAACAGAACTGTACGTTCACTGCATGTTATTTATAGCACGAAGAAACTAATTTGATTTGTGTGCACTACAGAGTTCGTTCTAGTACAAGATTTATGACATTACTTCAAAGACTACATGGATCCCATCTCAAGTTTTAATGTGGTGATCTTCTAAATATAAATTACAAACAAGCATACACAAAAATAATTATTTTATGCATCTTACAGGTACGGCTCCAACATTTTGACTGACTGCTCCTTCTGAAGAGAAAACACTTGAAGTTGGAACATTGCAATTTTTATGCTGTGTCACTACAGAAGAAAGAAAATGGTCACCATCTGAAGGGAGGTAAGGTGAATGCGTATAATCAGCTTCTTCTGGAAGATTTAATCCTTTGTATTTTTCAAGATCTTCATTGTCACAGCTATTGTTTCCATGTGGATATATTTCAACTTCTGCTACTGTACTCTGATTTTCAGTGGAAAGAGGATACTCAAAGTGATCCAACAAAGCCTCTCCCACATTTATAGCATATAACTGATTGCCTTGACTAGACGGCAATCCTTCTTCAACAGGATTATTAATTACTGTGGTTTCCAGACTGAAGTTTTCAGAACTATCAGGAGTATTCTGATTTAGTATTTCAGTTAGAAATCCATCATCTGTAGCCGATCTTATGTCAAACAATATCTGATTCTCCATAGTCACAGGCAGACAGTCAGGTGCATCTTACTTATTTACTTGAAGAGAATTCATTTTTCTATCACAGTATTCTTCCAGATAACTTAGATATCCTAGAAGGGAATGAAATAGTCTTGACCAAACAAGTACGTGCAATACTGAAAATTAACTCAATTAACATGAAACTGAAAAATACAACACTGAAGCAGCTGTTTGGGCCCTGAAAAGCCACCAAACCAACACAAACAGCTGCTTTTAGCATAAGAACAACTTTGCAATTTTTCACGTTACAACATCCGTGGCACTCGGGCTTACAATAGAATTTAGCTGCTTGGTTTTAACAGTGGAAAAAAAAATCTGACCCAGCATAGAGCTTGGAGAGAAGCAGTTACACTGTCATTCTCGTATAATTGAGCACCGTAAGCTCAAATCACCTATTCTCCCCGTGTCACTACTGTCAGATGGAGACAAGGCACCCCTCTGCCCTCCGTGCTCCACAGCGCCTGCATTAAGACACCAGCACAGACCCACCTGCTCTGCTATCACTACAACTGCTGGATTTGGGCTAGGCTAACAACAGGACGCTTAGGCTCACGACAGGAAACCAGCCCTCTCCCCTCACTCCACCCCCTCTCCAGCCCCACCCCGCGCTCAGCGGGAAGGCGAGGAACCGCCGCGTGCCCGACCGTTACAGGGCGCTGCGCGTGTGCGGTAACGGCCGACCCGCGCGCGCTCGGCTCGCGCCCCGGCGGCGCGCTCCTGACGGGAGGAGCCATGTACTCCACAGCCGTATTACGTAGGGGAGCCACGTAGTCCACAGCTCATCGACTGTCAAGTTAAGACCAGTGCTGATTGCGAGCCTGCAGGCAGTTTCACTGAAACTTTCCTAGCAGCTATTCCCACCTGGAGTTGTTTCTGTTGAACCTGAAAAATTGTTCATTAACACGTTCTCTGTTAACTAGCAAAGTATCTGCATATAAAACATCTCTCAAATAAGCTGAGGAGTGTCCTGCTACAGCTCTGCATTGGATTTAACTACAATGATTTCACAAGTCCAGTAAAGCAAGGGAGCCCAGAAAGAAAATACAAAAGACATGAAACATTCTACTTAGTAGTGATAATTGTGAAACTTTATTTTATTTTTTGAAGTCACTGAAGAGGGTAGAGCAGTGGGATAGACTATTGAATGTAAATAACCAACCACAGGAGTAGAGTAAGCGAACAAGATAAAAAACAGCTGAAAGTAACACATTTTATACAAGAAAGCAATTGGTACAAAGGCTGAATTAGGACTGTGATTTTCAAGGTCAGGCTTGCACACCTCCATAGTCCTGTAGAAGCCCAACCCTTAAGAGTATTCAGTTTGGAATAACCTAAGTCCTGGACAATGGCAGCCTCTAAACGCACCAAATTTCTGCTATTCCATCATATTAAATAGCTGAAATAATAAATTCTGCCAATTCATATTTAAAGGATTCCATCAATTCCACACTGGTATTTAACAAACAGGTTAATTTATTATTATCCAAACTGAGCCATCCCTCACTTAGAGCTCTTTTCACTAATTGAGAACAGGTGATTCAAGGTTTAGTTATGGATGAACAGTTTTTCTAAAATACAGACATTAACAATAAAGTACACTGTACTAGAAAGTTCATTCAATTCTAAGTAATTTCAGTTACATTCCTATGGCTTTTGAGCAAAAAAGCAAGTAGTTTTACGGTATGTACACCATATTGAACATCAAGTTTTAAATTATTTATTAACAGCCTACATTCACTGTGGATTTCTAAGATTTACATCCAAAAAGCATATTTTATTTACACGCTGTTGACATCTTAAAGAATGAAATAAGATCCTATCTGTTTAGGAATTATGATCTAACTCAAATTAAAAAAAAAAAAGAAAAAAGATACAATTAACACCACTCCTTTAAACATTTACAATAAAAAACAACTTTCTGTGCCAATTGTACTTTAAGAATGTAAAATTGCATTGATAACTGCACTAAATACAATTAGACATGAAACATTTAAAACCTGAGAGTCAAATCTAAACTTTTTCTTTTTCTCTTTTTTTTTGGAAAATCCTAGAAGCCCTATGTTAATTTAAGCGCAGACTGGTTAGTGGTCAATACAAAAAACAGTGCATTGTTTCTGCAGCTCCAGAAAAATACATCACTATAACATCGATGCAGTAATTTGGTAAATGTTAGCTGCAGTAAGGCTTATTTTAAAGTCTCCTCTCCCACAAACTTCATCCAATCAAATAATGAGCATCTTTGGCCAATTCCTATGGGGGAACCTATATTTATGTAAGCATGTATTTGCTTATGTATGTATTTAGGACCTTTGTTGAGGTTTTCCACATCAAACATACACATAACAGGTGTTTCAATAGCTAGATCAGAGTGGAAAAAAAACCAACCACATGTAGAGGCATATAAAGCTAGAAATACTGGCCAGAAAAAGAAATCCAAAAAACCTAATGAGAAGTTTCACAGCACCCCCAAAGAGCTTTCAAAATTAGCACAGCTCTGGAGCAACATTACTAAGTATTTTGTACCTTCTACTCCCAGAAAAATAAATTTGCCCTCATGGGTGCATTGTATCGTGTGATCTAAAAAAGTAACAACACCAATAAAGTTTGAGGAAGAGTAGCATAACACACCGAGTTACTTCAGTTTTGTAGCAATCATTTTACTTCTGCACTTACAAATACGCCCCTTTTTCAGTGAAATTGTCTGCCCTATTCCCACCCCCATTTTTGCTGCATCTTTCAGAAACCGCCTGACACAAAGGGCCACTCAGAAGAGGTTTGAGAAGGCCCTAATTTCCCCATTCTGGAGCTACTTTCCATTGCCTTCACAGCCTGTTTCATGCAGAGAGCTGACCATGCAATTCTGGTCCTTTCAAGCTGAAACCTAGCAAACTGCAATTGCTCAGCCTCTACATGCAGCCTTGATTCATAGATTATCTAACAGGTTTGAGTTTAAATATATTTACATTCCCAGAAACTCTTCTCTCAGCGAATCACTAACACCACTCAGCTAAATGAGATCATGAGTATCTATAGCTCTGAAAAGTTACTCCTGCACCTTAGAGAATGGTCTTTGCCATGTATGAGGAGATCATCTCATCAGAGCTTTGAACCTAGCTGCACCATACACAAGCAAATTCTATCATAGCCACCTAGTTTATAATTTCAGAACTAGATCTGCATTGCTATTTCCCCTCCACAAAAATAATGTAAAACCGACTCCCAGCATAAGCTTTTCTCCCGTGTTTAGGGTATTTCTTTTACTAAGGCACTGGCATGAACAAGCACACAGGTTCATTTATATGGATATAAAAATCAATCATGTGCCAAACATGCTTATAAATAATAAGAAAAGTCTTATTACCTGCTAATTTGCATATTTTACTACTTCACTGTAGCGCATACTTCTTCCCAAAAAGAAACACACCAGTTGGGTGTGTTGCACTAGGTTATCATTTTGGTTTTTTTTCTAATCTTATGAAGAAATTACCTTTAAAGTAGTTAATGAGGGTAAACAGCCAGAAGTGTTGTCATTTGTTGAAATAAAGCAGCAGATACTCTGAAGAACATTCTGCTATTGATGCATACCAAATCAAATCTTTTGAAGGCTTTGAGTTTAAGACTTGATATGTTTTATCCCTTCCATTCTGGAACAAGTGGACTCAATTAATTTTAAGAACAAGAAAAAAAATGAGAGAAAACTGAAGGAATTAGAATATACATGCCTTCGTGCAATAGTGGTATACTTCATCCCTAGAAATGTATAAGATTTCAGAAGTTGCCCTTTGTGGAACTAAATGCTTCCAAACTACTAAAAAAAATAATAATCATGAAACATTCAAACCATGGCTAAGGTTTTCAAAGAAGATCAACACGATGTGACTCAGATTCTTCACCAGCTAGTGTTGTTGCAAACCATGCTTTCATTTGCTGTTCAGAAGAGTTTCCATCCCAACAATGGAAGTTTGCTTCGTGGCAATAACCCAAATCATTTGGTACAGTTTTTAGGAGGTTGAAACAAACCCATGATGTCAACCATTGCTTTCTGGATGTTCTTTCCAAAGCGATGAGAATCCTTAATAAATAAATAAAAATACAATGAGCTGTGCTGTCTGGTAACAGTTATCTTATAAGCAAAAGAAAGAATTTTAATATTTTGTAACTTTGGCACACAGGTTTATATCACATATATTACCATAAAACACGTAATTTAAACTACAAAAATTCTAAGGCTATATAAATTAATCCAGGTTTTACTGACTGGTAAGTTTTACATTATGCTGTTATGTTATGTTTTTTACACACAGAACTGAGAATCTACCTTTGAAATTAAATGTGTCAATAGCTTTGTATCATTACTTTAAAAAAACAAAACCAAAAACATCTAATTCATACAAGATGATTTTATCTAAGCCATTTCTCACAACTCAAAAGAATGCCCAGAAAGTATAAAACAACCTAAAAATACTGAAAAAGCAAAAAAAAATTGCATTTGAGTTCCTATTAGAATCCCGAATCCATTAGAAGAACAACATCAAGTACAGATAATGAAAAATCACAATTACTTAAACATTAAGAAACTATTCTAAGGGATGAACGGTACAGGGAAGAGAAAGATTACAAATATAAATCATTAACTACATTACAAAACCTACTACAAGAAGCTCTAATAATATCAATGACAAGAACATAAAGCATTGCCTTCTCTCTGTGGACTTTTGCCTTGACTGATAAGAGTACAGGGAAACTTAACGTATAAAATTAAATGGCATCTGAAGAACAATTTGAACCACACATGAACAAAGTCATATTTTCTAATATTTAATGATTAACCCGAGGCACCAAGATCTATCAGACAAGTTAAGGTCTATGTAATCCTGCCAAAACTGAGTATGCTGGTAAGTCATAAAACAAAGGGGAAGGACAAACTGAAGCTCATTCAATGCTGATCTCTACAACAGAAGGATATTGATGGATGACATCACTATATTTCAATAGATGGGTGTTATTCCGATAAATTATGATAATTAAGTTTCCCAAGCACAGATTAAAATTTATCCATCAACTTCCATCAGAACTATTTAGACTACGGAGATGCAAAGAATAAAGAGCACACCACTGTATTATCTTTACAATGCAGCCAGAGGTAAATCAAAGCTAAATTGTAGAAACAAAAACCAGGAGACACCTATCTTACTGCTTACGGGACAGATACAAATCATTTCATAGGAGTTCCAGAGAACTACATGTGCACAAACATGACCATAGGCCTTTTTTTTTCTTTTTTTTTTTCTTTTGCATCTGACAGAAAGGTGAAGTATTATACCATTTCCTTGGTTCATCAAGTCACTAAAAATATAGACGCTGAGAAAAAACATTAATATACAGCATACGTTGACAAAGAAAAAAGCAAAGTATGTTGCAAGTCCTACTGCATTTTTAGTAGACAGTGAGTAGAAGAGATTTGTAAGCAGATATCAGAACAGGAAAGGATTGTCCCTTACCGTTTCAGAACAAGAGAATTTGCTGGAGACATGGAAATGAATGGAGTTTTCATCTAGGATTATGTAAGAAACACCATAACCATCATCAGCCACCTGAAGGAAGAAAAATGACATCAAGTCTTAAACTTACTTTTCCTTCACTTTCTACAACAATCCCTGAACTTTCCAAACCAATCAACCAACAGCCACAAAACCAGCTTTCAGCTTGACAAGCCAACTATAATACACAATAATTATTCTGATTTCTGAGTGCCAAAACATAGTCCTGTGATCCCCTCACTGTTCTTTTAATAGAAATGCTTTTTGAAACAGATGAATCTAGTCTACCACATGGAAAAGCCTGCCTAACAGAGTTAAAAAGAATATTATCAATTTCCATATTAAAATCTTGGTAAAATACTATAGCAAGTCAGAAGCTCATTACAACTCCTACAGTACGCTAGCTCCACAAAACTGTTTTATTCTTATCCTAGCCACTACTCATATTTAGGAAGGCAAGCAGACCAATCTGATTAGCTTAATTCAGAGGAAAACGTAAACAATTAATTAGAAATTATAAATAAAAAAACTCAAAACAGTGACATAATTACTTTCTACTAATTGCAACCTTAAAATTTAGTGTAAGTAGTAAATTGCTTGTCACTTTAATAATAGTTTGACATACTAAATCTGCAGGCATAGGTACTATGATAGAAGCCCCCAGTTTATCAGTTCTCCTTGCTGTGGAGCCTTACACAACATTTGATAACTGCATATTTCCTTAAGGATGATCCATTTTTTAGTGGGACAAGGGAAAAAGATGATGTTGGTTTTTCTGAGCACATTCACATAGTTAGAAAACATTGAACACATTTTTAAAGTGTATATTGCACTTCTAATGTGCAACATTAGGGGACTACAGGTCTGAAACAAACTGTTTTTAAAAGGGATACTTGTATTTAGTAAACATACAGGTCCAAATCCACCACCAGAAGATAACATCTCAGGGTTCTTCTTCAGATTAATATGTTGTTGTGGTGTCTGACTCGTTGATAGCCTCCAAGGTTCTGACAAAACCTTTATTAGAGGTTAAAAAAAAAAAAAGAAAATCAAGTATATCATATTGTTTAGGAACATGCAATTCTCTCAAGAAACAGTAAAAACAACTTAGAAAACATTCAATAAAGCAATAGTAAAAGGTAACTCTAGTTCACATGTCAATGGAATGAATAACTGACTATTAAAAGAAACAACTTAGTTTGTCCTAACATATAAACCATCAACATATTAGATCTTGATGTTAATTTCTAAAAAATAATAAAGTTTCCTAGAGTAGAAATATTATTTCAAAACAGATGAAACTGATCTATAGCCTGGTAAACTCTGCATAACAGGCCTTGTTAACAAGATCAGCAACGGTGGTACTCAAATCCCAGGTAAATACTACAGAAAGTTAGAAGTTTGTAAAGTCTCCAACAATACAGAGGTTTCTTGGAAGGCTGCAGAAGCTGCACAAGGTTGTTTGATTCTTAACTTAAAGCAGGAGCATACATTTTATTTCATAAACTCCAATTTTAAAATATGGCTTAAAGCATTTATCACTACAGCTAACTGTAAGAAGCAAAAATTACACTATAAGGCTCCATTAGCTCATGTCAACTTACAACAAAGTAATTTTGTTACAGTTCTCAAGAATATTCTTGAGAGAAAGCGCATGGCTGCCTGTGGTGAATATGTGCTAAGAGCCAGTACTTTATTGTAATACTGATCATATCTTTCTTGCAAACCTTAACATGGTATTACTGAAAGTGTATTAACAAGTGTATATATATTAAAAAAATGAAAACAAGCTGTAAGATGTTAAGCCATGCTATCTATACTCTTATTTTCTTTCTGAGGAAAAACTGGAGTTCTATTAATATGTAAGCAGATACCAGAAAGTGCTAAATAAATAAATGGCTATTTACTGCAACCAATCAATAAAGATAACTTACTTCCTTGAGGAAAGGAGAATCTACAGAAAGGTACTTGGAAACAACATAAAGGCAGAACAGATGTCGGTCAATGCCTGCACCAGTCATGGCAAGACGATATAAGTGCTGGTGTTTGGTAGCTGCAAGCCGGAATAACTTCAGCTTATTTTCATTCTAACAATGAAAGAAAGATGGAAAAAAATCCCATTAAGTGAATCTATTTAGTTTTTTTTAGGAAACTACAGAAAACCAAGTCTTAATGTGGTTTAAGAAAGGCAGGAAATGTAAGAGCCATTTTAGAAGGCAAACTGACAGCATATGATAAGTGTAACGCAAGGGCTGAAAGAAAATTTTAGTCTCAAACTCACTTTAAGATAGCTCTTTTGCTAAGATTTTATAATACCAAATGCAACACTGAAAATATGGTAACCTGTCACTTAGGTCCAGCATCACTGTATTATATGAGACTTATTCAGGATGCTGTGAACAGACTATTAGTCTCCAAGATGAAAACTTATAAATCACTGGTAGTCATGCTAAGCATGCCTACTATTGGCATTCTGGAGAAAAGCTTTGTGGATAGTCCATGGAGGACACAAATCCTATGCAAAAACACACAGATAAAAAGCAAGCAGTAAAGGCAAGTGAGTATTAAAAAGGACTGAATTAAGATCTGAGTATACTAGCAAAGGTATCTATTGATACCTTTCCAGACCATGTGAATAAGCTATGTATCCAAAATGCAGAAACAGTACATTCAGGGGGACAGTTGTGTGGGTATACACATGTTAGAAAGTATCCACATTTCTATAAATTGAACAGTTCCATAGGAGCAGGTCAGAATCCTAGTTAAATACCACGTTAAAACTAAAATGTGTCCATTTAAAATTTTATTCTAAGATATTTCTAGAGCCTCGCTGAAAGTTTAAGTTAAGCACATTCTGTTAAACCAAACTTATCAATTCTGCAGCAGCAATTCAAGAAAGCCAATTCTCATATCCCAATAAAGTTCTTTAATGGCAATTGAGAGTTTGGTATGACATTCTTTGCTTCACAAACAAGAAATTCACAAAGACCATCAGTTTTCTGGAGTTCAAGATCCATAAAGTTGGCATATTTGGTTATTAGTGACTAGTCATTCTCTTTTGGTTAGTCTTTAATTCCTGCCATACTGGCAGAAGATGAAGACGACAGCTCTCTGCTGCTACACTTCCATTCTCAAAACAAGGCATCACTCTTTCTTTAAATGTTAAAAACTATACAGAAATTTACATGAATAAAAAGTGCTAGCTGTGTACTTTATGGATCGTATTAGAAATCAACACAGTCAACTTACACTTTCACGTGGATCTTCCATGGTTTGAACAAAATTACACGATTCAATGGTACACGAACGGACAGTTTCAGTTCTGCCTTCTCTGAACAAGCGCGTCATAGAGGCTTCGTATGTCAAAGAAAATTTTCCCATGTCCTTGAAAGTTGAAAAATAAGGACTTAGTGGCTTAGACAAACTTAGCCTCTCTTTCTTAGTTGATGGTAACATTTAAGGTAAGCACACAGGATACAAATCACTCCACAAGTTAAGCAAGTTGTTAGTAGTCTACCTTTAGCAGTCTTACAGAAAAAAGTAATAATGGGATTTGATAAATGCTTTTATAGCAAAGGCTACACTACACATTTTATATCCACTTCTTTGGTTTGTCATAAAAAGAACTCAATTCAAAAACTATCAAAAACTTATTAGAAAGTTCAGTGGCTACTTAACTAACATAGGTATAGTTAAGTAAGCTACAATATTTTCAATTCAAATTTTAATAGCATAGATTTGTATGGCAGCATGGGGATAAAAAAAGTGAAAACATGATCTGAGAATGTGAAAACTGAAAATGATCTGCAAAATCCAAAGACAGCAGTTTTCATATTACCCACAGATTCTGAAATTTTTAATATTGTAAAAGCTTCTCTCTTTCAGGTCACAAAAGTTTGTTCAGCTTCAAATTAAGAAACTGAGTGGTAATTGAAAATACAAAAATAAAAGGTGGCTGGGATGGTGTGTGAGTCAAGTTATTTGCCATTTTGGTTCCCCAAACAACAAAGACAGTAAGTAGTGATAGCAGCAAGGAAATCTCTATGCTTTGACATTCAATTTGGAATTGCATTTAAAAAAGCAACAAAAGTAGATTTGGAGAGCTAATACCAATAAATATTAAGCAATGACAGCTAGAATGCAAAACCTGTACATTTTGCTATGTGGGCATCCTATGAAAATATGCAGGAAAAAAAAGGTGACAAGAAAAAACCAACAGGCATGCATATCTATTAATCCTGTTAAGGAATGGAATGTTCATTACTACAGAATTAAGGGGGACTCCAAACTAACAGGTAAGTTTAATGGGTGCGTTTGAACAGCAATAACAAATTCACCTACAAAAGTTTTCATATCTGAAAGATACCTAGGGATAAAACAACTAAGCAAAAGAGAAAAATCTGCATTAGCATCAACAAATCAACCTTTGGACAATGAATTTCCGGCTGGTAATCTGTTTAGCATTTGTACTAACTTCCACTGAACGTCTTTGATAACCTTACAAAAGCAGTGCAAAGTTACATGGAAGTACAGTGTACTTCACACAATCACGCATTCTAATCACAAGTACAGAAACACAGAATCTTATTAAATTGGCCACAGTATAAGTCAAAGTCTGTTCTTCTTACTCGGTAGTGAGCAAGCTGCAGGGCAAGTTGAACGAAGGCATCAGGGCTGGTTTTTGCTTTCTTTATTAGCCCCTTCCCAAAAACATCAAAGTAAAATGAATAGAAGTCCACATCATCTGCCAGAGCTCTAGCAGTGCTCAGAGACCTCTCGATCACATCTTGGCACTGAAATACACAAGCAAATTACTTATATATACATATATATATATACACACACATAAGAATAAGCATTGAAGGCATTTAAAAGAAATGTAGAAAAAAGTGCACACATGTTTAACTGATACAAAATAAATGTTTCCTTTTTATAAGACATTAACTTCATCCTGTTAATATTCTTCCTTTGGAGAAAAAGATAGATTTGTATGAAAGTTAAGATTCAAACAACTTCAAAAGCGTTTTAAGCCAATACACATTTGGAGTCCAAAAACGTTATTCAAACAAAAAACATATTAAGATTGTTCAGATCACTAGAACATTAAGTGCATCACCAGCCACTACGCACCACCCTATGAAATAGGATTGTGGTAGGTTGTCTAGAACTCGGGGGAAAAAAAGCATTAACTTCTAGACAGAATTCTGAATACATGTAAGAAAGCTAACTCAAGGAAATACTACACAGACATACTAAGACACAGCAGCAACTCTAACTTCACTGTAGTACTGTTCCTGTTTACAATGGATGGCCATTATTTCTGACAAGTTGCTAAGCTAAGAAAATTTCTAGTAAAAAGTTGCTATTTCCTGAGCAGAATTTATAAAAAGCAGTGTTAAAAACACTGTCTCCTTTTAAGTAAACTGGGTAATACGCACAAGCAAAATACATATTTTACAGGGCTCAAGGAAATTAACTACTTGTAAGGTTTTCTATAATTATGTGATTTGACTGCTCAAGAAAAGCTGAGCTCCTTTCCCCAGTCACCATCTGCTGTGCTCTTACCTCTTCTGGAATTTCCCACTGTAGTTTGGTAGGGATAGGAATATTTTGATTGGTGTCTCCTTTGCAGTGTCCATCCTCTGAGTAGCCCAGTTCAAGATACTCAGTTGCCATTATATTCTGTGAAGAAAGATACATTTTCAGAATTGCAAACACATTACATCCTAATTCCACAGCAACGCGTAATTTTGAAGTCCCAACACATTTAGGATAACACGTTTTTAACACACAGTGAAATGCAATCTATTCTCACGTATTGCCTATTACTTTCAGGCATTTTTACTTCTAAGCAGAAAAATACCAGATATACATAAAATACTGTACTACAGTGGTGCAAAATGCTTTAATTAAACCTCCTCCAAAAAAGGCTTTCAACCTTTGTTCAATTTTGATTCTAAAGAATTTCTCTAACTCTGTTATCTGACAAAACCAGTTCATCAAAAAACAGTTTACTGCAAATTAAGTGCAAATTTCAAAAAAATTAATCAAATCTTTAACTCTTTTCAAGATTCAATGTTTCAGTACATTTTATGTGCACACTTGACCTCTTGGACTAGTTTTCAAGACGGATGATGCAAGTTGAACAACAAAGACTTTGACTTTCAAGACTTCAAGTGAAATATTGTGGGTTTTTGTTTGTTTTTTACCTTAAGGTTATCAATCTGTTCAACATGGAAAGAAAAAGTTTGATAAAAATCTGTTACATGCATGTACTTATTTCTAATCTCTTGCTGGTGTGGACAGAACACACCAACTACAAAATGTCCAGAATTTCTTAGAAAACTAAATTCTATTTTATTTTGGGCTTCCTAATTCTCAGCAGAAAAGGGACCAACTAACAGTAAGTACAAAGATATGAACTAAGCATATTGAGTGATTCTCTGAAATAGAACAAAGTAATTCTTTTCCACTGGCCAGAACAGCTAGTCTGAACTAGACTGTGCAATCAACCTTGAATGAGTTTTGACTTTCTCTTGTTTAGAGAATGCAGTTAGGACTTTCTCTTCTTATACAAATGGATACTCATAGATAACAAAATCAGGACATGACTTGGGGCATCAGTCAGACGTGGGTTCCACTTGCACAGATACATAATTAAATCAGAATTAGCTAATGTTTCTGAAATAGTTTTGAGTGATGAAGTCATAACTGTTTATAGGTCTAAACATCAAAGAAAAAAATATTCAGATAGGATTTCAAGCAATAAGCTATGTCCATGATGAACAAATCAGACAAAAAGTGCATTTATACCATTAATGGCAGCAAAACACAAGAGCTAATTTAAATAACATCAATCTAGAATATAAAAATAGCTTAAGGGAAATAAATGCTACAGTGTATAACTTAAGTTTTAAAAATATACGTTGGATTTTACAGCACAAGAAAGCCTAAGTGCTTCAGGAGCATGTGCATACACAAAATGAAATGCTATGTCAAACAGGCAATAGTTTATTGATTTAGAATATTAAAAACAAGCTAGATAGGGTGACACACCACTTTTCTGTAAACACATCTGTTGTCATATAATTTTAATAAAGGCCTTTGATTTAAGGCAATGCAACTTGCTTTTTGGCAAGTTTTGCTTGTTAGTTTGTTTTTAATTCTACTGACAACTAAAATCACTCATCAGCAACATAGTTGCAAGAGACTGGAAAGGAATCTGATGTTATTCAGAGCTGTTGCATGAACCACCTAACATTATACTCTACATTAACCTTTTGTATGTAACACTTACCTCCCACAGGTGTCCAACAATAGGAGCATCTGCCCAAGAGTGCTCAGCATTCAGGCCCATTTTGCCATTTTTGAATACTACAAGAGTAAACGTTTTATCAAACCACCTACAAAAAGATTAGATTTCCTTATGAATTTTTATATTGCAGAAACATTTTTATACTTTAACTTCATGTCAGTCAAAAATAATTGAACACAATGGGTTTTTTTGGTTTGTTTGAAATGGACAAATTTATATGCTTATAAATCACTAACTCGTATGCATTAGTCACATGAATTAGCAAATCTCTGAAAAAGAGAAGGTTCTTTTCACAAAGTCAATACTGTACCTGTCATAACATCTGCCATGTATTAAGGACTTTGCATATTCATCTAGTGACCTCACTGGATCTTCTTTCCTGTACCCTTGTTCGTCATCATCCAATGTCACAAAAAATGCTGCTTTTTCAATGGCATCTAAGGACTGTTTGTTTTTTCCACGGCTAAAATAAGCCTGTCGAGCCTTAGCCCATGGCACCCTGCAAAAAGAATGTGGTTTACAGCCAGGTTACACAGGTTAGTGCATATTTTATCATCTTTAACAAAAGTGTGAAACATTCCTCCTACTTGTATCATGTTTTGAGCTGCTACTTGCATTCATTTAAACTATATCAGCACTGAAAAGTTCTAAACATACAGGTATAACACTATACCAGGAAATAATTCAGCAGTAGTTCAGCACCTACAGGGGGTCTCTTCAATAAAGCTGGGGAGGGACTCTTTATCAGGGAGTGTAAAAGGAAATGGCTTTGAACAAAAAAAGGCAGAATTAGATTAGATATCAGGGAGAAATTCTTCACTATGACGGTGGTGAGGCATTGGAACAGGCTGCCCAGAGAAGCTCTGGATGCACATCCCTGCAAGTGCTCAAGGCCAGGTTGAAGGGGCTTTGAGCAGCCTTGTCTAGTGGAAAGTAACCCTGTCCATAGCAGGGGGGCTGGAACTAAATGAGCTTCCAGGTCCCTTCCAACCCAAACTATTCAATAATGTTATCGTATCACAACACAAATGCAAAGCATAAACATCATTCTTCAGAAGTTTCTGCTGCACACGATACATATAACACTGATCATCTACATTTCTAACTGAACAAAAGATGATACCTATTATGTGAAAGAAAATAGTAGTAACAATGAAAACAATTCATTGATGAAAATATCTGTTGCTGTAACACCTAAATATAAGCATCTGGACAATTTTCCATGAAAACTTCCATGGTAAACAACTGAAACAGATCTAAAATTAACAAACAAATGAATTTCCATACAGCAGTGCCACATTTATTTATTTATTTAGAAATTTGTAAGTTTTTCCAATGAAAATATGTAGTAAAGTACATATCTCTTAGGTAGTATATTAAAAACCCATAACTCTTTCTCTTCAGTATCCAGAAACAAATCAGACAAGGCTGAACTGAATTTGTCAAAATAGAATTGAATTCAATGATCTCTCACCAAGAGCCAGGTGAATTTACATTCTCAATCTTAAGTCTGAGAACATTCTTTAAAATGTCCGTGAATCTCAGAGAAAATCTAAAGCTTACATAGTTTAACATGCTTAATACTGCAAAGCCTCAAATTACACTTCTTACCACAAATAAAGCAAACTTCTCTAGTTCTCCTGCTAAGTATGGGGAGTCTATACAGAGCTGCAATTGCAAAATTATTTTTAATTCCACATCATCATTACAAAGGACAGCACAGCAGTAACATGTCAGCAATATACTTCCAAATAATGAAATTAATTTAAAAAAAATGATAATAGCCATACCTATCTCCTGCAGTAAGAGCTGCTAATTTCTCTTCGCCAGCCTGAGGCTCTGAATCATCATCAAGAATTCTTTGTATCTGCTGTTCAATCTCTCGAGGTTTCAACAGTCTACCATCGTGGTACAGCCACACTTTGAAGTAACGCCCCTTGTGATAGACAACAATGTGTTTGCTGTCTTTCACATGCTGGAGAGTATCTAGAATTTTACGAAAAAAAGCTAAAGTCTCAAAATACTAATAATACACTATATAACGGCGAGCGCCTACTGCATGTACTATCAATTAGCCACAGCTCATTTAAACAAGTTTATCCTCACTTCGTTTATAAACAGAAGGTCAGCTGGAATAAGCCTAAACTTATGACATGAAGGCTTTGTGTCAAACACCTAGTGAAGCCTTCTAAGCAGCTAGGTAAAGTCCTCATATGATGGAAACCAGTAATTCAGTTCTTTTGCTCTTCCTGTTGACATTCTTATAAATTTGAAGAAATCAGTTGATGAGACAGTGAAAAAGAGACATCCTAAAAGCCTAAAATTCATTATTCTGAGAAACATAGTACCAGGAAAGAGTTCTCTACTTCAGATGTTCTGCCTATCCATAAAGTTTTGAGGGGTATCCACTAATCAGAAGCAGTTTTATACTTATGGCACCTTTGACTAGCCTAAATAAAGCTCAAGCTTTTGTACAAGTATCACAATGGCATCTGAAAGCTCCAAGAAAATCTGCTGCAGAATTAGTACAGGATTTGATTCTCAAAAATGAGAAAAATGGATAGCAATTTTCTTTCATCTGTTGACTACTAATGTTAGTATTTCCAGATTATCTGTTTCCTATTCTGTTTTGTCACTGCAAAGAAATAAAATAAAATAAAAAAAGCATCCTCACACACACCAAGAAAAAAAAAAGCCATGTAGTATCTGAACATAAAAAGAAGCTGAGCCCAGAGGAGGTAGGACAGGCTATTGGGGGGGATCATTGGAGGCTAGTTCGGGGAGAAACTACTACTAAGCCTTTAGGGATATATTCCATAGCAAGATACCACCACATGGAGAAGAATTTGCCTCAAGAGCTTTGATATTCCAAATTCTCAAAGCTGATGCACTGTTTGTCACATTCAAGTACAGCAAACAAGTTACCAAATGTTTGTCAGGATCAAACTGATTCCCTGAACAGGAATAAGCCCCTTTAAAGTTTGCAAAAAATAAAAGCTCTTTAGGACCTTCAGGATGCAGGAATACTAAAGCTCCAACCCACCAGGTTATATAAGCCTATGTGACAATCAAATGTACCTTGAACAAGACCACCATATTCGTTATGCCTCAACATAACTCTTCAATATGGCGGGTACTAAGACTCACACCAGTATAAATGAATTATAGGACAAGTAGTTGGAAGATCTGGAATATCTGTCCAGACAGGGGGATGGAAAGGTGTCTGGAAGGTGCCCTGTCCATGGCAGAGCTTGGAACTACATGATCTTTAACAGCTCTTCAAACTCAAACCATTCTGTGACTTCATGACTTCTGTGACTAAAGAACATCACTGTCACTTGGAAAGAGCAATCCAGCTCATGGATATCCAAAACATGGATATGTAAAAAAAAATCCTTGCTATGCCAGAGAAGGCATTAAAAAATAAAATAAGGAGATGAAATTACCCCATAGTTACACGGCTAACTTTAACAAGCAACTGAAAGGACTGAAAGAGACATACCCTACTTTTCTATCCATGTTTTTTCTATCCATGTGTTAATGAATGCATGCATCTGCCTTCTTTCAAAACATACTTAACTCCTGTTGTCTGAATTGAAAGCATATGTACATTTACAGTGAAATGTACAGATGAACTTTGATTTACAGATACAATTACTTTCTGGGCACGGCTAACAAACACGATTGCTTGTGAACGTGTAAACACATTTTTAGTATCCCACAGAAGCTGCAGGAACAGATTCACACAAAAATAACCCTGTTGTACTTAAACAGGTACCTCTATTCAACAGTAAGATGTAAAAATTTAGTTACTCAGAACTTAGAATAATCATTTCATTGCTGGAAGTTAGAGCAGGAACTAGTAAAAAAAGCATGTTTTCTTAATGTGTTACTGAGAAAAATTTAGTCACTGTCCTTCTTAGAGCTGATTCATCCATCTATCTTGTATCTTACAGTGCATACAAAACACCAAGATAACACTGGCACTGAAAAGCCTGTCAGGACTAAGATTGTACCTGCCTTCAACCTAAGTAAGCAACAGTGCTGAACACACATTCATATTGAGAAGAATACATTAAGATGCTGTTGTAAATAATAAACTGAAAGAAAAAAAAGTCAAAACAGGATAGATTTTAAAATGACTTAGATGAGAGAACTCAATCTTCACAACAAAAACCATGTGTATCAAAAGAAACCTGAAAGAGTAGAACAGGAAAAAAAAAGTAAAAGTTACTTATAAATTAAAAGCATGAGGCAGACAACTTCCTGAAGTCAGCTTTTAATTAAAGAGACAAATACTGAAGAGAAGTTTCAAAGTCATTCTGAACAGAAAAAACTGTGTGCTCTATGACAATTCATTACTTCCTGAGAAACAGCAGTATTGGTGGCTTGGTGTCTTTCAACCCCTTAGCTGGAAAAGAGAGAGTCTAACAGAAAATATCCCCAAAATTCTGAGTTCCAGTAAGATATTCTCTTCTCCTTGGATAGCCCTGCTTACCTGATTCTTCTCCTGGGATGCGGGAGGTATTAAACATCCGCTCCCACTGAGCTGAGCAAAGTGGAACAGTAGATCCCATCAGAAGAATCTGTACAAAACATGTAGATTAAATTCTAATTTAGCATATATCGTTAGTAAATTAAAAAGAAAAAAACAATCTGGTTAAACAAGAGGCTGCAGAACAATAATATTTCTAATGCATCATTTTTTTTCTGTTCCTTGTTCTCCCTTGAACTGCATGTGGAAGATTTCACTGACATTCCAGTAGCTATATTTTATTTTATTATTTTTTTTTAACTCTTATCAAAGCTCACTCTTCAGAAGCAAGCACTGAAGATAACTTGCATGAGAAATCCAATGTGCTCCATGGTCAATCTGGGTTACCCCTTGATTTCTTCTTCTGTTTCTGGTTTATCTACCTATGAAATTACATCATTAACCCAAGAGAGTACACAACTCTCCTCCTACCCTTTCTTATCTACTTTGGCTCCCTTCCTTGTTGGGATTTCTCCTATGCAGGAGAAGTCACAACACCAAGTTCAAGGACAACCTTTGCTTCAAAGAGTAACAGCTACTCAACTGCGCTCTTCCAATGGTGTCTTTCATTTTCAAGCAGACTTTCTTACAACCACTATGTCCACATCAGGATCTGAATTCTTCTGAAGTCTGGATGTTTTTAAGGCAGTGTTCTGCCTGACAAATATAATTTCTTAGACACACCATATATTTGCAACAATTATCTGGGTAACATCCAAACAAACAGAACAGTAGAAAGACTTCACTAGGACACATACTTTGAAGAAAAACTACAAACATTTCTTAGCGTTTCTTTATACGGCACTAGGAAGAAAATTGTTTCCACTGAATCATCACAGACTAAGTATGTGGGCTGGGGGTTATGATGTTTACTTGAATAAAATATGAAATAGAAACAAATCAAGTATTCAAACAATATCTGCTTGAAAGACACTTAAGTTTTCTGGAAATGTAGTGTCCTGAGGAAATATGAAATTACACACTTAGCGTAAATAGATGTTTCTAAACTTCAGATAAATTTAACTTTTAAACAAGTTGTCTAGCTTTATTGCTACACCAGGTTAAGAAGTGAGTAAATGCAGCAATATACTTCAGTTTTTGTTTTCCACCTTGATATACCAACTAAATAAATTCACTGCATTTGGCAGATTCACTAAGCAAAACAACTATAAACAGAAATCACAAAGAACAACATGAAAATATAGCAAGCAGTACACATTCAATTGTAGTTAATAGTTCAGCATACAACCTACTTCATATGCTACTCAATTTAAAATCCATCCATACAGTCAGTTTTAGCAGGAAATAGGAAAACATTTTCCTGCTGGGATTTTCAGAACTCAGTGGTTCAGAAGTACCATGACATGCTTGCTACATATCAATAATTTGTTAGGTGGTGTACTTAACATATGCAAACACAAGACCTTATTTCTCTTTTGGGCAAATAGATAGGTCAGTTTCAAGCGCTGCAATTAGCTGGTGTAACAGAAGCTTGTATCTGATAGTCAGTAGTTTGTGCACATGTGCAATTCAAGTGATAACAAAGATAGCTCAGTTGAATCTCACATATGGTTCTGGCACAACATATTCCTCTCCTGCTGAAAAAGCTAATCAGCTTCTTACAAACTGTGCTGGAAAAGATCAAAAGCTATTTAAACCAATGTACATACTGGCTTGATTTCTTGTCTGTCCAGTTTTTTCCGGTAGAGCAGGATGGCATGGATAACATTACCAGCTCTAGCTGCCTGTATGGTTGTGGGAAATAAATAAAGGAAGTCCTGCAAAGTACATAAGAATCTTAAGTTAGCTATTAACATAGTGCACTGAAAAATATACAGTACTACTGTTTTTTGTTTTGTTTTGTTTTGTTTAAGCTATATTCTGGTCAATGAAGTCAAGTCTTGAAAATACATGAAGTACATTAGTGCAGTGAGTTGATGACTTAAATTCCATTCTTTCAATAGCCACGATTTCCTTAAACAGCACCAGTTTGAAAACCTACAGCATTACTGTTAGTCATCCCATATAATGCTACTGAAAATTTGAATTCAAAACCACAATATTTCCTACTTATGTTTTTAACCTCAGATTTCCTGTACAGGCATTTACAAATACCAGAACACACAACTGTGCCATGCATCAGGGTTTTTTTCGCAGTAATCTTTTTAAAGATTGCCTGTTGCAGTAAGTATAAAACCGTAAAAGAAGCCATCACTGAACAATTCTGCCCAACTGCCAGATGTGCTAAGTTTATTATGAAGATAGCACTATATAAGAGATTTGTTTCAGATTGCATTCCAGAAAGAAAAAAGAAAGCCATATACTCAGTGGCAACAGAGGTCTAAAAAGGGAGATATTAAAGAAAAATAAATTAAGATCCATGGCAGAAATTTTACAATGCTTCTTTGACCCATAAAGCATTTACAGCATTTACCTACCATTGCAAAATAGTTACTGTTAACCATAATTGGTCCACGCCCTCTAAGATAGATATATTCTTCCCACCAATCACTCACCTGTAGGATGAAAAAAAATGAGTAAAAGTTCATTATTTCTATAGTTGATAGCTGCTGTGTTGATAATTCCACAATACAACACTTTGTACAGTAATAGAAATTGAACAGTCAGCTTGCCTCTCTACTTAAAAACATACAAGGAAACAAAAATCCTCCACTGATTTCTGTTAATATTTAAGGAAAGCAAATTAAAAAAAAAAAGTGGGATAATTCTAGTAATAGTAAGTTTCTGAAGAAGTTGTCATCTTCATATGACATTTAAAATGCATTAGAAATCCCAAATGCTGGGGTAACCTAAGAGAACTACGGTTAACGTGTAGAGCTAGATTTTAGATACTACATCAGGAAGCTCAAGGGCTGCCTTGGGGTTGTTCAGCCTGGAGAAGAAAAGGCTGTGAAGAGAACTTATTGCAACCTTCCAGTACACAAAAAGGGGCCCACAGGAAAGTTTGATAGGGACTTTGTAAAAAGGCATAAAAGGACAGAAACAAGGGTAACTACTTTAACCTAAAGAGATTTTGATTAGATATATGAGGAAGAAATTCTTCATTACAAGGGCGGTGAGGCACTGGAACAAGTTTCCCAGAGAAGTTGTGGATGCCCCATCCACAACCATTTTTGAGGCCAGGTTGGATGAGGGGCTTTAAGCAGCTTGATCTAGTGGATGGCAACTCTGCCTACTGCAGGGGAGTTGGAACTAGGTGAGGTCTTCCTTAAGGCCCTCTCTAACGCCATTCTATGATTCTAATTGCATTACACAGTTCTTGCTATGATACTGCAGTTTGGATTTTCTTTTTGGTGGAAAACATTTGTTACAATTGTTTATTTCTTTTCCATATGCTTTATCATTTCTACATAAAAAAGTTTTCCTAAAGCACTCTTCTATCTAAACTACCTGGACAGCTACGTTCAAGGTTTAATTACAAACCTGAACAAGATAAAGAGCCTAAGAGCAGTTGTGATAACTAAATCACTGGCTCCAGAATAACAAACACAGAACTGGACAAAGATGTGCTCTATGAAGTTCCATTTACCAAACTTTCTGTTTTCAAAAACCACATCAACTTATTTCTGTGCAAATCAAGTGGTCTCCAATGCACTTTGCACAAGTTTCAATTCCCTTCTCCATTTAAGACAGAATAAACATTAAGCCAAAAATACAACAGGGAACAAATCAAATTACATCTGTTGAATATTTAAGTCGTCTGTTGATCTACTCACATAGTTTGTGGCCCACCACGATTTTAGCTTTAAGTACCACTGAAGCCTTGGTCCTAAGTTAAATGCAAAATCTTTTGCAAGACCGTCCATTCTTTTGAACTCTTCATCATTCATAAGTGGCCGGACTGATTCCAGATACTAGAATACAGGAAGAGAATCAGCATCAGTGTAGTCACAGATGTGTATCTTCTCATCATTTCAGCAGAAAATATTTGAACAGCAGAAAGAGCATTCAGATTCATTTCATAAGGCTGCAAAATGCTGTGTTGTTAAAACACTGTTAAACATTTTCTTGCAAACTATAAAAATGAGACCTTTTCCAGAATTTTGCTAACAAATCACATGTGGAAAAGGTCACTTTTCTAAAAATACATTCTCCTCTCCAAAGAAGAAAGCATTTTAAAGAACATATTTACTGTTATCATAGGGCTTAACTCTTCAGCTTTAAGCCATTTCCCTTTTCCTTCAGTTTCCTTCAAACCTTCAGTTTCTGTAACACAGTCCTACTTACACACTTCACTGCAAGATTTTGTCATAAAATACATACTTATATGCATGTTAGTCAACATAACAAATACAAAATGCACTGAAAGCCCTGCATATCATACTTCATTGGAAGGTGTTGCAACAGACACCATGTCACCCAACATGAACCAAGCCAGCTTCAAACTGGCTTCATCCATTTCAGTGGTTTGTCTTAGCCCTTAATTTCTACACATTAAGTTCTAATGCATAAGATAATATAGATACCACCACGTAATGATTTTAAGACATGGCAAAAACAAAACAAAAACACTCTTAACATAAGTACAAAGGCATCTAAATATGGATTCAATGTTACCAAAGATAATGAATTGAATTCCACACACCCTGCTGACTGTATCTTTAACAGCTGGAACTGGCAATCGTGGTAAAGACGTCTGGAAACTGTACAACATGGGCTTACGTCCTGAGAAGAGTTTTACAAGAGTCTGAAGAAAAACAAAATCAAAATATATACTTCAATTTATTTTGTTCCATACAGGAAAATGACAAAGTAATAAGGAATAACATAGCTGGGAGTTCCTTTCACCAGTAAGCAATACAAGACTGAATTTAGCCAACTATCACCTTCACCATTGTTTGACAAAGGCAAAAAGGCAATGGCAAACTATCTTCCAAAGCAAAGAACACATCATTTAAAGAAAAAGAGCATCATGGAGACTTCCTGACTTCCCAAACAGTTTTCTGGTCATTAGGCAATATTGTTCGCATATGACACAACTTGATCTCAATAAAAAACGGAGGCAGTTACTTGGTGCACTTCCTCATTCATTTTCCTTTATGAAGATTAAAAAGCAAATGTACCCATTGATATTTTACTTATAAAATAGGCAATAGAAAAGCCCACCTCAATTGTACTCCAAAACAGGAATCATTCAGTCAAGCATCTTGCATAACAACAGCCATCATTAAGAATTATGCTTTGGAATCATGCTTTGATATTTTTTAAAGTTATAGCTCAACATCAAGAGTACAGATTTACAGGGAGTTTCTTTAAAAAGAAGTTTGCCCCAGATAATCCAACTACACAATTTGAACACATCAAGTTGTGCAAGCATGCCAATGTTAAACACAGTCCTTGTGTTATCAAAAACCAATAATCAAACAAAATAAAAAAATCAAAGACAACAATTCCAGACTGTTTCAAATTTTACAGCATCCCATATTCTCCACGAGACAGAAGATGGAAATGCTGCTTCTATCTCTGAATACCTCTCAGTTGTGACATGCACTACGTTGAAACTCTTGACCAGGCAAATTCTAGACTATACATGGAAGGATATTGATATCAATCACCCCATTTGGGCATGAAAGTAAAATCAAGTATTAAACCAACAGTTCACTTATTGTGAAGTACAATCTCAACATCCTATATAGTATATTGTATAAAGTTCAATATATTGTATAAAGTTCCAATGGGCTGAAGACAGAAGAAAACTGAGGATGCCCTTTCACTACTTAATTGCTAAAACTAGCCCTATTCACCCAAACTACAAACAACTGAAAACACTACATTCCCTCTCCATTTCCTTGGTCAGCACAGCTACAAGAGGTTGTTTCAGACAGTAAAGTCATTAACAATTGCAGTGTGTTACCAGCAAAAAATACCTCCCCACAGCAGAGATCTGCTAGAAGCACCAGGGTGATCAGCCCAATGAAAACTGACTGTGCTCTGTGGATAACACAATTTGAAAGCCAGGTGAGAAAAACACCATAGCTTTTCATAAGAAAATCCACTTCTCATCCTTAAAGACTATTTTATTTCAGAACTCTTCAGCCAGGCAAGGCCAAGATTTTCATCAGACAAAGAGTACCTATTCAACTGACAAATACAACAAACACACTCAACTACAAGCTTACTTAAGAGTCTGAGACCACTGAAGTGATCCAACAGACACACATCCTTCATTACTTCTCTGATTTCACATCCCAATACCCATCAGAAAACCTAATTACATCAAAGCTGAAAGCTGGGCCACCAGACTTCCAATTAGCCTCCCAATCAGTTAATACTGCAGCTGAAATCACAGCACAGGTTTGCTGTCTGCAGAACTATTTGAACAAAAAAAAAATATTGTGAGTATATTGTTATGCTGTTAATCAGCATGAAAATCAGCTGGGGAAAAAAACACATGCACAGGAAAATCCCTCCTGGATAACAAAGGTTTAGAAAGCCAAGGTAGTTGGTGCTGGTTTATAGGGAAACCAGTCTTCTCTTTTGTTGGAACTACCTAAAAAAAGCAAGGAATGAAATAAAGGTTTATATTAAACAGAGATGAGATACTGCTGGGCATACACCTGTATATTGGCCTGTTTTTAATCCACGTGTAATGTAACACACAGCAAAACAGAACAAATATACGCAGCATATCATATACCAAAGTAGATCAATATAATATGCAACAGAGCGTGGTAAGTAGCATTACAGTTCATACTGTTTAAGGCTAGTGTTATAAGCTAAGATTAACAGCCTTAACATATCTGTTTGGTAGGACATGCTGAAAACCCAGACAGAGAGAGCTTCAAGCAATCAACAGAAAGCCTTACCATTCAGAGCCTGGACTGTACAAATTCAAGTCATGAGGCTCTTGACACTGCTTCCAGGAGAAACTATTGATTAGAAATTTCATTTGTAACAAACTAATATTAAACTGTAATGTATATTCTGGATATCTGTTGTTGAACAACTTCCATAATATATCATTACATGGAAAACATCTCTTGATTTTTTTAAGGAAGGTAATTTTTTATCTTAGGAGGGCACTTAAGTTCTACATCAACAATGGAAGAAGTTTAAACAACTGAGCCTGAATAATAAAAAAAAAAATCAATTCCACCTTTCAGAGCACCTATACATACCTTCCCTACACCTATTACAGCCTCTAAGGGAGATGGCAGCCTCTTAAGTCCTTCTCCAAAGCACCTTAATTATCAAGAGAAGCCACATCACTCCAGTCTTATCTTTAAGTGTAAACTGTGTAACAAGCTACCACCTCATATGTCTGTTTGGAGTCCTACCACTAAGATCGTTTGAAGGGACACTGTAGTTTTCTTTACATGTAAGGTTAATTTTAGAATGGATGACTAAAAATACCAGCATTTCTACTTTAAGAAAAAATTAGAGTAGTGCTTTCTAGAGAGAACAAGATTTTTTTTGTTGTTCCATAGCCCGAGTTTAAGCTGTGGTTGCGTATCGGGAAGTAAGCATTTGAGTCACACAGTCCCAAGGCACTGGGAAATTTAGATGTTCTTCTTAAAGTGTTTGCTTTTCCTTCCACAAGGCCATATTGAATAGTTTAATTAAAGCATCAAAAGGATGATAGTAAAAATAGCCCTTAATAAAAATATAGCCCTTGTTCTGTGACACAGAAAACTCAAGCAAGACAGAAAAGAAGAACAACTACAAAACTATCTACTTTAGGGCTTTGAAAACAGACCACGTACACACAGAGATGATATAGGACAGAAAGACAATACATCCTTACCATCCACAGCTTGGTGCCTGCAGAAAGTTTGCCGTGTTCAGCAAACATCCAGCCATGATAGGAAAGCAGCATTTTCAGGGAGTACCGCATTGTGACGATAAGGGCAACCCAAAGCCCTGTGCCAAAAAGTATTCCACTCACAATGTTCTGTGTTTGGTTTGACATATAGCCACTATTTAAAACAAAAGGCAGTATTAGTCAGTTAACATCAGTTTAAGTTTTAAGGAGAACTTAATATTGCAAACCTACATTCCGTGGTACAAAGGCAGGCACCATGCAAGTTTTATGCCTGTCTGCCCCTTGTTATGGAACTCCTTTCCAAACATCCTCTCCTATGGCCAGAACAAAGGCAACAGAAGTTGCCAAATGCACTCCCCAAACACGTATATAGCAATGCAGCAATACTGGTAAAACAACCTACACATTTAATAGCTTTATGCATTAAGACTTACGCTTACTCTATCACAAACATACTGTTCAAAGACTGGTATGCTTTAACAGGATTTAGATGAAAAGCAGTTACACATAAAAGTGATTTGGTTTAGAGAACAGTAAGTTTTCAGACTACTTACGTTGTATCAAGGGTCCGGTTGATTTTAGCTATTATTCCTAAAGAAGGATCAATTTTGGCATACATTGTTGACATCACACCCACAACTACAATAAGCCAGCTAGAGGGGCTAGCAGGATAAACACCAGTGATAATTCCATTCTGGAAAGAAAAGCCTTCACATAATTTTTTCATACCAAAGCGGTTGACTTCATATTACCATGGAAAGAAACAAAAATCAATACATTTAAGTCATTTAATTTTAAACAAGATTATCCAGCATTTTCTTTCATGGATTTTAGCTAAGTTTGATCGCTACCGGAAATTCTCACAACAATACCAATAATTACTTCATAAACTATACAGTTTGTGTCACAAGTTCTAGTAAAAGCACTGAAGACAGCAAAGTTCTTTGGAATAAGTGACATTTCTAATTACGATTCCACAATCCCATTATTATGCCTCCCTAAACAAATACCTGGGAAAAGATACTCTACTGAACAAGAAACAAAAAAATTGTCATTTAAACTGTCCTTTTTAAAGTTTTAAGATGTTTTTATTAAGACTACTTTTTAAAAGTATGTTTTTGAAAAAGATACTGAAGTTAGCCTGTCGCTTACCTCATGTACTACTAATAGAATAGATACCATTTATGATTCTATAAGCAAAATAAAAAAATCACAATCAGAAGCATTACTGCTTGGTGTAATTTATTCAAGATAGACGTTCAAGTACCTTTGGAAAATAAACATTTTTTCCTAATTTGAAGATTTATTTTTGGTAAAGAACATATCAATCAAGAATGTAGTTTTGTACCTCTGCAAGCCACATGATTTTGAAAGTCATGACTACATTTTTGATCTATGCAAATAGATAATATATAATTCTATGAGCTATTGAGAAGAGAATAAAATAAAGGTATTATTAATTTCTAACACCTGCTTCATCTCGTTTCCATAGAACAGATAAAAAAGAAGCATCCTTTCAATCTTGACATTGTACTTTTAGCACAGCGTCAGTGCTGATGCTTCCTTACTACTCCTTGTTAACTAAAATTCACACAAGTCATTTGCTGTACAGAACTTCATATGCCAAAGAGGCCTAAAAATTAAACAAAACTACATATCTATGAGAACCTCAAGTTTGGTAGGCTTGACTGGTTTTAAGTACCTTGAATCTGATGAACTTTTTCTTCCATGAATGGACACCAGATAGGTAAATTTGTTTGAGTGCCTCATGACTCATTCGCAAGTCAATCCCATCTGGAGTTACTGTAAATTGAAATGCTACTGCTTGATGAGCTTCCGCCATTTTTTGAGAGAGTTCTGTTAAAAAAAACAGAGATAAAAAATTAAGACTCTGTACAAACATATTAAAATCATAAGCATAACATAATAATTCCAGGGGAGATTCAGGTTGGACTTCAGGAAATACTTTGTCTCAGAATGGTCAGGCATTGGAATGGACTGCCCAGGGAGGTGGCGGAGTCATCGTGGAGGCGTTCAGGAAACATTCAGATGTTGTACTGAGGGACATGGTTTAGTGGAGAACTACTGGTGATAGGTAGACGGTTGGACTGGATGATCTTGGAGGTCTTTTCCACCTTTGGTGACTCTACGATTCTATGATAATCAGCACCATTTGAACCAGGGCAGCGCTGATGTTTTTCTATAAGCGTAGCACTTCTTTCGCAAATCTCAAGTTTGGACTTCTTAATTAAAAATTAAATTCCAGTTGACCTTCATCCCTTGCTAAACCACATGTTAGAGCTAACAAGTACAGTTTAGCAGAGCACTTCAAAAGCAATCTGTTGTGACTTTGGTCCTGCTTCTCCTTGCTGTAAATATTCTACAATGTCAAAATCATCTGGAATGTGGGAGAAGAGATACAAAGGTTCGTGTATGAATATACAGAAAAGGAATGTAAACACTGGGAATGCTGTATTAACAGGACTAGGAAATAAATACACAATATGGAAAGAGTATTAGAGAGAGATGAACAAGATAAATGCTGTTGCACAACATCTAGTAAGGTAACTGACCAACAGATAGGTACTCTTATAAATATTGCACTATCTCTAGGACAGCCTCCAATGATCAGCCTCTGCAAATTCAACTGCTCCTAGGAGAGCTGATGGCAATCCAAAGACCTCCCAAATTCATCAGTCACTGCTCGGGAAGGCAGAGGTTCAAATCTTGGTGAATCAGGTTTCTGGGCCTCCAGAAGAGCAACTAAAGCTCACAATACCATGATAGAATGCAATTTCATCATGCATGTACAGTATTTCATTAGGACAGCAAAGAAACAAAATTGGTTTTGAACAAAAGTTCCAAGACAAGCACTGTATGCCCTCCTCGTAACAGCTGCAATTTGTAGTACTCCATGACTCAGTCACTAACAACTATTTATAATGACCTTGTTGAAGGCAAGTATCAGGAAGTCAAAGTCAGCTGTGTACTCGTTTACTCGTTCATGTGAGTTGCACACCATCAGTTCAACACTGAGACCAAAACTGCATGAGCAATAAAGCAGAGACAGGCAGCAGTTAATATGTGGTACACCCTGGACTCGACAGGGTTTGCAAAAGCACAGAGCAATTAAAGAATTCATCATAACTCTAGTGCTGTTCAGACAATTTACAAAACAAAAATAAACCCAACCATAGCTGTAAGTGGAAAAACTTAGGCTCCTCAATTTGTCTCAAGAAGGGCCAACTGACTCTCCAGTTCACTCCTGGAATTTTACATTCTGGGATGCCTGCAAGAGCAGCAGGCCAGCTGGTTTACACTATCCTTCAAGCCCCCTGTGGTTTCTCAGCCTGAGAATTCATAACCATCCTCCCTCTATTTCTGAAGAAAAAAGAATTTCTGGAAACACTCCCATTTAGGTACATCCATTTGTATTGTCCGAGGTAGGAAAAGATTATAAATAGCATTAATCATAAACAGCCTTATATCTTACTAAATTTAGTTCAATGGTCAGGCTAAATTTAAATAAGCTTCAATAAGGAAAACATTCCCTATTGCCAAAGTACAAATGAAAGAACATTAAACCAGCAAGAACTAATCCTGAATCAAGTAACCGAGCACAGAAGACAAAGACAAGGTTAGTTAGAGAATTGCACTGCTTGATCCTGAAAGATATGGAAGCATCACACAGCATGCTTCTCTTCATATCCTTTTCCTTTACTCAAGAAAAACAAGTCGCTCAGACTGTTTGTTCTGAATTATGATGGCTGAGCAGCAAAAAGACTTCCTGGAGCTCCTTCCTTTGAACGCTTCTTTTAGCCCGCACAGGCCAATTCAATCATAAGCTGCCCAACACTTCCCCTCCTTTGCATTCCTCCGCTGTCACGTGCTTGCTAACAAAGTAGGGAAAAGGGCACGGGCCGAAGGAGCATGCGCTGGATTTTCAATTTGACTTGCCAATGTTAGTAAGGCAGCGCCCACATCCATCAGCTTGCTAACACTGAAACAATAACTTCTCGTAACTCCAGGCGTTTTGGTCAGCAAATGCAGAATAATGTTTCCCAGCAGAGAGCCATAAACAAGAGCTAAGCAGTTTGGCTGATCTTACTGAAAGGAAAAGAGAGAAATGAACCCATACGTTCACCATCAGCCTGAAGTGGCTATTTTCATCCTTTGAATGTTATTTTTGTAGTATTAACATCTCTTCCAAACATGCCTGCTCCTTACCAAAATCAGAGTTAAAGGAGAAAGCTGCCTGCTCCTTGTTCTTTTCTGGTTTCAGTTCAATTCAAACATGGTGTATCAGCCACCAATGCTTCTCCTTCTTCCTCTTCATACCTCAGCTTAAGCCAATCAAAGCTTGCCACAATTTTCCTCTTGTTACAAACAAAATGCTGGTAGGTTGGAAGTAAGCTTTTCAGCTGGGAAAACACACCAAGTCCTGACAGACCTCATGGGCCAAAAATGCCATGACTGAAAATCTGTACTGCTGTCTGCTACGCACAAAGCCTCTTCACCATGCTACTGCTGCACCTTCAGGATAGTGATGCTACAATTACCAATGTTTAACTTTTTAGCTTCTGCTGCCCACAGAGTCAGTGATTTCAGGGTGCAGACACCAAAGAGTCCACTTCGTATTACAACCTACACACCCTATATCCTCTGAAGGAGATGAGGGTCTTTTATTTAAACGTAGTTTTCACATCCATTGCTCCTTTTCCTGCAAATGAAGCAAATTCACAAACACAGGGTAAAGTGAAGAGAAATCTTATTCACATGACCCAGAACTGCCAAAATCTGCGTTAAAGACTTAATACTATGACTCTCGCTTGCAAGCAAGCTCAACAATTCAGTTTGAAGCTCTCTTCATGATATTTTGACATCTATTTGTACATTAGCTTTTCTACGTGGAGCACACATCTGTCAGGAATCAAACTCAGCTTACACAGCAAATCCCTCCAATTATTCTACTCTGACTATCAATGGTTGAGAATTTTCTGGGAAGAGCAATGACTGCTACATTGTTTCACCGAGAACATCCCCACATAGGACCCCACACCAAGTTTAATGCTGCTGGAGCTCTCAGACATCTCTCTGACACCCTGACCACAGATTGCTCCCTGGTGGTGTGCAGACTTGAAGCATTACACATCTCCATGCTAAGAGCTAAATTATGCTGCTGGATTCAGAATCACAGAATGGCTTCGTTTGAAAAGGACCATGATGATCATCTAGTTTCAATCCCCCTGCTATGTGCAGGGTCGCCAACCACCAGACCAGGCTGCCCAGAGCCACATCCAGCCTGGCCTTGAATGCCTGCAGGGATGGGGCATCCACAGCCTGTTCTAGTGCCTGCAACCTGTTCCAGAGCTTAAAAGCACCTGAAAAGCTTATAAATTCATGCAGGTGCACACATTTCATCTAAAGAATAAAAACAGCTAAACTTTCCTTCAGGAGACGAACTTGATGCAGTTTTTGGAAGAAATGTTCATTCAAAAAAAAAAAATTCATTTGTTATCTATTTTGTCATTTTAGGATAGATCACCAGCATGAAAATACTAAAACGTCATAACCAGATACTAAACTAAATGCAAGATAATTGCTAACTGAAGTGTCTAAGCATGGAGACTGGCTGGAAAGCCAGCCTGCAGCAAGTTGCACAGCAGCCAGCAAGGTGCCCTTCAAGCAAAGGTTAACATAGCCCTGAGGTGTATCAGGAGTAGTACTGCTAAGAAGTCAGGGGAGGTGAGTCTTCCCCTCTCCTTAGCTCTGCTCAAGTCCCGTTCTGAGAACCGCCTCCAGTTCTGGCTCTCCAGTACAAGAGAAATGAAGCAACAGAGAGTTCAATGAGAAGCCATTAAGAAGATTAAGGACTTGGAACATCTCTCCTATGAGGGGAGGCTGAAAGAGCTGAGACTGGATTGCCTGGAGAAGAGCAGGCTCGGGGGATCTTACCAATGTCCATAAATACCTGAAGGGAGAGTGCAAAGAGGGCAGAAGCAGAAGAAAAGAAGCACTACATGCAGAGCAGAACAGGAAAAAACCTGAAATTGCACAGAGCACCTTACAGGCTACACAGTTTCCTTTTGTTTAATCTTACTGCTTCTTAAACTCCATGTATGTACTATTTATGGACCAAGCATAACATTTCAGGAAAGAATACATGAAGTGAAAGCTGGAAGAACACCTTCAAAGGCACAGAATAAAAGCGATCAAGTCAACAGTTCAATGCTGACTTCAGAAGAAAATAAGTCATTAATATAGTAAAAAAATCTGAAGTTTTCAAGTCATGACAAATTTGTTGTTCCCTTGACGATGTTTACAAAGACTCCTCTGGATGGCCTGAGTGCAACACAAACCATTCAAACTCCAGCAGTCAGCATCTGTAGCATCTCATTTGCAGCAGGGCCTGTACCCAGGAGAACAAAACTCCTAATTCACCATTAGTGCCATTTATACTGTACTAAATAAAAGCTTTCTGAAAAGTAGAGTTTCAACTGGCTACCTAGCAGAGATTCTCTCTGAAATGTAAATACAGACATCTTTAAAAGTAGATCTCATATAAAAAAATAGGCCTGATGAAGAAATCCTATGCACAAACAATTCAATTGCTTTAAAAGACCATCACATCTTAAACGACTAAGTGGAACCAGTCAAGCACTCAAGAAGCATTTTCTGCAACTGACAGAAGCGTACAGTTAATCTGGAGGACAGAAAGTTGGATTCCATAATAGAATTTACACACAGACATTTTTGTATGAACTTTATAGACAGATGGAGGCATTTTAAACACTGCTATAGTGAGAGCTGGCTGGTTTAAAGGTAGCAGGCAGCTTTCTGGAGCTGACCTTAAGTGCTGTACCGTAAGCGCTGGTGATATAAATGGTGGGAAAGAATACAAATTCCTAGTAGTAAAAAGTCCTTGAAACTTAACGTCAAGTGTGTACTCATTGGAGAGGAGAACAATGACCCTTCTTATCCACTTGATGCCCTGTATTACCAATAACAAAACCTGGGTGACTTCAGTGATGTGTTTTTGGAGAGTTTGCTATAGGTGCAGAAGATTCAGTCACTGAAATGTGTGCTGTCAGCAGTATCCTGCATTGATGCAATCAAAGTCACATCTGCTATTATATGAGTGCTTCCCCACCACTATCTGACAACCCAAAATCAGGGCAGGATTTTGGTAAGGCAGGCAGCTAACCAGAAGATGCATAGAGCAGTTTACAAGCATCTGGTGCTCCACTGATGAGCAGTTGAACAAAGTCAAAACTAAAGCTGAAGCATCCAATTTAACAGAAATACAAAGATGAAAGTTGGCTAATTTTACTTGCATATAATTTCCCAAAAAAGGTTGCTATGCCTCTCAAAGGAAAATATATTTTTTTAAATCTCTAATTCTCTTCATATTTCACTGTGAAATATACAGCTCAAACATTTAACCATAACCAAAAAGGCGTATGTTTGTTGGATATTCTACCAGCTAATACCACTTTCTTGCAGCCTATCTTAGAGTTCTAGAGCTTTGCAAAAAGTTAAGTTCCCTGAGGAAGAGTAAAGAGCTTATTCACAAACCATGTGATATTTTGCAAGTGGCTGACTTCTGAACTTACTATACAGATTAACCAACACTGTAATTCAGTTAAGAATTTCTACTTCAAAATAGCTTGCTCACGTACAAGCCTTCAATAATAACTAATCATGCTTGAGCTGCACTTATCACTGGCTACTTTACATGCTTAAGTTTCACTAACAATTTTCTTCCCTACTCCAACGGGACTGTAGACACAAAACCATTAAGAGAAATCCAAGAGGAGTAAAGCCAAGTTTTTTTTCTGTGCAATAAACAACCACGTGGGTTAAATTCAGCAGGTCTTCTCGGGTGAACCTAATAAGTGTGGTACAGAAATAAAACAGAAACCAAACGATCTCCTGCCTTTAAAACTTCCATTAAATGATAACGGGCTGAATGCTACGTTAACCTGACAAGTTCCCTCACACCAGGTTAGTTGTAACTGAAGGGAGTTAAAACCAGTTTAAGTTCCCCCAAAAACTGAATGTAATTATTTACACGATAGTTCTCTCAAAGGGTTGCCAAAATAGGATTACTGGGCCAATCCAATGATTGAGATGGCTTAAGCAAAGCACTGGAAGAGATAGGAGCTTTTTAATGTAAATTTTAAGGCTTATTTTTTTAGTTATTGTTATTGCTGTATAAGCAATAGGCATTGGCTTTCATCCCTCTTATCCTTCCCTATGGCTGAGCACTATAGTCCCTTGAAATTGCAATGTTTAAAGCATTTTCTGCACCTAGAAAATGAACAAACGCTGTGTTTCAAGCCCACCGGGAGAACTGAGTGCATGTATGTGCACAGGTACAGCAACACTGGGACCTACTACAAACCTCATGTGCAGCACAGTTCGAAATCAGAACAGCCAAGCAGCGTGCAGTAACTCATTGCCTCCACTGACAAAGCTATCAGCTTGCGTCCCATCCTCAGCATTTTCCAGCATCACTTATGGTTGTAGAATAGATAACCTCCAAAGGCAACTTCTTTGAAATTTTGGCCTGATTTCCTTACCCCCTTCCCAAAGGCTAAAATGGGGTGGCAGGCACATGTGGAAGGACGATATGAAAACAGACAAACAGACCAAGGAATGAAATGCAAACATACCTGAACAGCTCTGTATTCCTCAAAAAAGAATTTGTGATCTGCTTGTCCCTCCGAGATCTTCTACCCCACAGACTCACTGCAGCTGGGTTCTTGAGTAGGTCAGGACACGCTCAGAGCCAGATTCATTCCAATGCTGTTAGCTGCTAATAGCCATTAAATGATGGCAACGGCAAACAGTTCACTGTAGCTCTGAAACAGAAAGTCAAGAAAACCAGTTTGAGCTTTGATTCACGCAGAGCTTTCAATGGCTGTGAGGGACTGGATCAAACTGGAAACCCTCAAGTAAAACTGATGCCAAAGGAGAGCATTGTCACAAAGAGTAGTGTGAAACTGTTTTCCCACTACGCTGTATAAATACACTGGATTGATCCGGCTGTATTTAGGAGGCCTAAGATGGTGAGTAAGAGTTCACCCAGTGCCCTGCTACCCTCTTAGCTATTTCTGAGGGCTGAAATTAGCGGCTTTTGGCTTGTGCAACAAGCAAGGTGATTTCAGGGGCCAGACCCAAAGGCCAGATTCATCGTGCGATTTAAAACATCCAGATGCAAGTTCTGTCCTGCAGGCTTTAAGCTCCCATTAAACTCAACCTTGATCCCATCAAGATTTTTTGGAGACACGTTCACAGAACAGGCTGCTTTCACCAGTGCCTCCAGAAGAAAAGACTTGGGTAGATAGGAAGCTGTCTTCCCGCCTGCAGAAATTGAGGACAGTCAAGCAAAAAGCATAGAGAAGACCAGTTATAGGATGTGTGTTAATTACTAGGCTAACATGAATGAATTTTAATCCCTACTGTGTATGGATCATACAACCTCTTTCATCTTCCTGAATATCATGCTGCTGTACTGGATGGTTCCATGATGTGTACTCCACCAAAAGCAAACATAGAACAACAACATTGAACTGTTTCACAGCTGTAATCAAAACTGAAACTCTTACAATTGTTACCATTTACATTTTTTTCTATGAGCAGTAGGACATACTGAACTGCTGCTAAGCCTTTTATATCATCCTGATCTTCACTGCAACACACATTAGATTGTACACATTCCAACAAGCCACCTCTTCTGATCTTCTCAAAACTCACTCATCTTGACGAGTAAGAGATGAACACAAAAGCAAAATGCTGCACAGCTGCTGCCCTATTCAGGAGCCTCCCACACCCTCAAAAGCAAACCCCTGGGTTCTGGGTATTTCATTTCTTTTAAAAACGCTGCCATAAAACACATTATCCAGGCATCCACAGAATCACAGAATGGCCAGGGTTGGAAGGGATCACAAGGATCATGAATCTCCAACCCCCCTGCCACAGGCAGGGCCACCAACCTCCCCATTTAATACTAGACCAGGCTGCCCAGGGCCCCATCCAACCTGGCCTTGAACACCTCCAGGGACGGGGCATCCACAACCTCTCTGGGCAGCCTGTTCCAGCACCTCACCACTCTCTCTGTAAAGAACTTCCCCCCTGACACCCAACCTAAATCTTCCCTCCCTCAACTTAAAACTATTTCTCTTTACCTTGCAGTTATCTACCCTTTGAAAGAGTTGATTCCCTTCCTGTTTGTAGGCTCCCTTGATTTCCCTACTGAAATGCTGCAATGAGTTCACCCTTCAGCCTTCTTTTCTCCAGGCTGAACAAGCCCAGCTCCCTCAGCCTGTCTTCATAGGGGAGGTGCTCCAGTCCCCTGATCATCTTCGTGGCCCTCCTCTGGACCCTCTCCAACAGCTCCCTGTCTTTTTTGTACTGGGGGCTCCAGACCTGACACAGTACTCCAGATGGGGCCTCACAAGAGCAGAGTAGAGAAGGACAACCACATCCCTGTCCCTGCTGGCATTCAAACCAGCGCAGGTTTTTTTTTTTCCCCACTTCTCCCTCCCTTTGCACTAAGTAGCTTCTGTGGTTGTGCAGCAAAGAGTTGTGCTTAACTTCCTGATGGCAGCAAATACTTCTGGAACGGCCTCGCTTTCAGCAGCCCTGCACCTGAAGCCATCCATCTCCCAGCACCTCTGAAGTCCTACAAGCTGACCACCACATCCAGTGACTGAAGACAAACGGAATGAATTGCTCCTGATGATCATTCCAAGAGTAGAATGAGCCAGCTTGGAACGTTTTACTAATATTGGAACCGATTATTCAAATAACATGAACCCAGTCACAGAAGAGAGGAATGCTTTTTAGTCAGGCAGATGCCGTTTTTCTGAGTAGGTGGAATTTGGGACCGCAATACAGCTTCGTGCAAGACAAAGGGAACGGCTTCGAAATATAAAAAGATGCACTTGGTTTTTGTTTTAAACATAAGCTTCCACTTGAGTCACCTTCACAGAAGGTTTTCCAAAACCGCTCACGCAATCGTGCTCCGGTTGCAGCGCTCCAAAAGCTCGCGCACGCAGCGAATGTAAACATCCCCCCCCGCCCAGCGCACACCAGCCCTCCCCGCGCCCCGGACACGGCCACGTGTTTAGAACTCGATCCCAGCTCCGTCCCTGGACGGCCGCAGCCCGCCAACGAGCCGCTCAGCCGCGCGCGCCCCCGCGAGCCAGGCCCCGGTCGGGCGCGCCCCCGCGAGCCAGGCCCGCCCACGTGACCACGGTCGAGAAGTAGGGGAAAGGTCGCGCCGCCGCAGCGCCGCGCCAGCGCGCCCCGGGCGGCTCCCGGGCGCTGCCAGCGCCGGATAGAAGTTACTAAAGAGAAGGAAGCGGGCTCTATCTCAAAGGCAGCAGGAGAAAGCGACGTGCTTCGCCTGCGTAACGTTCTGCTTCCAGTACAGCTCGCAGTGCTACGACCCCTCTTTTGCGCAGCGTTAAGGTTTCCTTTAAGAATAAGGCTTTCTCGCTCCCGAACGAACGCTCAAACACCCCCAAGCTCCACAGAGCCCTCAGAGCTGCTATTCCTACAGCTGTGCCACGGCTCTACCCCGGTGCCACCACGCAAAGCCACGCTTCCCTACCCGCAGCGTTACAAATCGGTAACGATTCATTAGCACCAAAGGTTCGCTACGGCCGCGACAGGAAAAGCACCGCTGCGAAAGCGCATTCCTAACGCATTCGATGGTTCACCTCAGGCAGAGGACGCGACCCGGGCGTCGGGAAGGTCAGACAGGCAGGAAAACACAGCTGTGGGAGAAGCCGAGAACGAAAGGCAGCAGAGCCGCCCCGGTCGAGAACCGGGCAGGAGGGAGCGAGCCGTGCCCGGCACGGCACAGCGGCACAGCAGCACAGTACAGCGCGTCCCGCTTTCGGACCGGCCGCCGTGCGGGCTGCAGGGAAGGGCCGGCCGGGCCGAGCGCGCTGCTCCGCGCCCAGGAAAGGCGCTCCCTGCGGCAGTTCCGCCGGCAGCAGCACAGAGCCGCGTTCCGCCGGGCTATAAATAACGCGACCGGCGCTTCGGGCGATCCTGCCGCCTGAACTCGAGCGAGAAGGCGGAGGTGGAAGATGCGGCAAAACCTCAGCGCGCCTTTAGCAACAAGTTCAGCGGGCGCTGCCGCCCGGCTCGGCTCCGCGCCCCGAAGCGAAGCGCGGACGGGAGGAGCCGCGTCCCCAAAGCACCGGGCGAACGCCCCGGCCCCACGCGCGCACGCCGCATGTAGGTCACGCACCGCCCGGCGGCCGAGGTCGGGCTGCGGCTCTCGAGTCGCCCGGATCCGCGCAGCCCTCCCCGACCTGACGGACGCGCCGCCCGCCGCCCCAGCCCGCTCCCCGCGGCCGCCGGAACCCGCCGCCCGAGGGAGGAGGGCTGCAGCCCCGCGTCCGCCCGCAGCGCCGCCCCGGGGCCCGCCGGGCCTCCGCCCGCCCGCTGACAGAATGGCGGGTGCCGCCGCTCACCGGCTCCGGCTCTCGGCGTCCCACACCCGGCCGAGCAGAAGCGAGCGGCGGCGCCGACAGAGAGCGAGTGGGAACCGCGGCCGCTCCCCTCACACACCCTGCCAGAGCCGCGCTTGCCGCCCGCACTCCCATTGGCTGCCGGCGGCGGAGGGGCGGGCCCAACGCGAAGGGCTATGAGAAGGGGGACGCGGGGCGCTCCCCGGGAGGGCGGGGCGGGGGCGGGAAGGGAAACGGGTGGCGATAGGCTGAGGGTGGGCGGCTTGTGCGATGTGATTGGTTGGGAGCGCGTGGGCGGGGCGTGAGGGACCCGCTATGGTGGCTTGGGGGTCGGGGCTCAGGTGGGGTTGTTGGGGTGGCAGCTGCGAACTTACAGGTCTCTAAGGAGAAACAGCTGGAATACGAAGTCAGAGCTTGAGGATGTTTGGTTCCAGTACGGTCCCAGCAGGAAGGCTACTCTGTCCCTTCCAGGATGAGGGCACGACCTGTCGAACTACAATCTGCCAGCACAGAGGCTCTGAAGCAGCACAAGCTGGGATCCATAACCTTATCCTTGTGGGCAGACCCGCCCAGCCACAGCTATGCTCCTGCCAGCTGCGATTTCCATGTGCCTGAGGGTTCCAAAGCATACAAACGTGATGAAACCCAGATGCACTGATGATACAGACTGAACCTCTCCTTTACCCTTAAGCTCATGCAGTGCCAGTAAAACACCAAAGTGCTTGTTGGGATTTCCCCTTCCAGCATTCCATGCCCAATGATGCAGTTTGAAGATGATGGTATTATTCCAGGAGGAAACGTAAGGCCCAGAAGAAAACAAGGAAAAGAGGAGAAGAAGAAGAGGGATTTAAGTATTAGCAAGAGGGAAAGAAAGGGGAACAAAAAAAAGAAAGGAAAAAGAAATCATAAAAACACTTCCAAACTCAACAGCTTCCATGTCTGCATATATTTACCTATAAAAAGTACAAATTGGAATGTGGTAACTTTAATCCCTTTGGTGTCCTTGTGTTCTACAAGGAGCGCATTTTTCATCATGCACAAAACCCACCTAGAATGTCATGAGTTGGTTTTTTTTGTTTGGTTTTTGTTACCATTTTTCCCTTCCAGATGCTTTTTACCTTTGAAATGTTAAAACAAACAAAACCACAAGTCTGCTTTCTCTCATTCTGCTTGGAGTTTCCTCATGTCTCAGTCCTCAGCCAACACTTTCATCTAGGCAGTAACGAGGAAGGAATCAGTCAGCTGGGAGCAGATGTTGCCATTCTTTGTTTCCTCCAAAATCCTGAGCAAGCAGTCATGAATTGGGGAACACCCAGATGAAGCGCTTACTTTATCATGGTGCTAAGCCCCATTTATGAGAAGTGTTGCATTATATGAAGCTGTGTGATTGTGACTTAGCCAAACCAGACTTGGCTCTATTTATCTGGCAAATATCTAGCATTACAGGCAGCCCTGTGACTTGTTGCCAATGGATCTGCCACTATCACCTGGGTCAGGCTCTACTTACCCATTAACCCAGATAAAGCAAGTTGGATACTTCCTGGGGTAGGGCTGTCCTATTCAGAACTTAGTCCATCTCTTACTGTGGCAACACACACTGCCGAAATGCTCCATCTCTTCTGCACACTGTATTTTCTCTTCCCATAAGAACACAAAGTGATTGTGCTTCTCATGACTGGATCTGTATTCACCTGCATGCCTGCAGCGTGGCCTGGACTTCTATCATAACCTTCCACTGCTCAGGAAAGACAAGTTTTTTTTTCCCCTGTAACTGACACATTTTTAATTTCTAAAAAAAACCATGAGTACAGCACAGACAGCATGTGCTTGGTGCTGTAAGGCCCCTAGTAGTTCATCCTGATTCTCATCATCCAAAGAAATGAAAATAATCAGCGACTGGTCACTTTTATTTGTGCCTAGGCGGGCTAAAACAATTTCAACACATCATAATAGACGTGTAACTCTGGTCAGTTTATCCCAGTCCTTCCAAATTCCTTGGCTTCTGTACACACATATTGCTTCTTTACAGCAGCTTTTCTTATCCAGCACAGCTACTGTTCAGTGTTTGTACTTTTGTCTATTTTTTGCCAGATTTTAATGATGTCATATCACTAAACCTGAAGCCTGAATCTGGTTTGGAAAATGATTTTCCCCACTGCAAACTGATTATCCCCAATGTAGTTTTGCATTTTTCTGTTTTGTTGTATTTTGTTTTTAAGTTAATGGAGTTTCTCAAGTTGCTCAAGTCAAGCAGCTTTAGAATAAACAAAAATTCTTTTTTTTTTTTTTTTTACCTTCAAGCTGAATTATTATTCTCATTGGAATTGAATTATTCAAGAGTTTTAGCACACAAAATTATTGTGTGCAGTCTCAGTTGCTTGAAGCAGATATTTTCCCAGTTTCTTGAAGCAGATATTTTCCCAGTTTCTTGAAGCAGATATTTTCCCAGTTTGGCTGCTAGTTTCATTTTAAACAAGACTAGGATTATTTTTTCCCCCTTTTATCTCTTGTGATATCTAAACATGAAGACTTCATAGTTAGGACACAGTAACTCAGTGACCAATAGCAATTTACAACTGATAATCTGCATGGCAAAACACATTGATAGTAAGCAAACTGAAAACAGCTCTGAAATACAGATTTCAGAGACAGGTAAGTGTATGCATGTTTGTATGCCAGGAGTCAAAGGTGAGAGCAAGGCAGGCAGTGCCCTCCCTACCAAGGGCACCATCCCACAGCACCTGAGCAAGGCGAGCAGAACAGGTCCAGTGACAGCAAACAGGGTCAGGCAGATCATTTGACACGTCGGCAGCAATGAGGAAGTCCAAGGTTGTTAAGCTGGAAAACTGAGACAGGGTCAGGGTCCAGATCAACACGGAGCGTGGCCTGGCTGCAAGGCCAGGGCTTCAAGGACAAAAGCCTCAGCTTAAAAGCTACTTCAAAGCAGGGAGCCTCACTAAGGCCCCTTAGCAGATCCTCTCCCCAAACAATTTGCACACATATACATGTACACCTTCACAGAATAGCTACATTTACCTGTGAGATGGATGCAGGAAAAGTGAAGGTGTTTACAAAATGCAGTGGCCAAAAGGTATCGAATTTTACGTCAAGAATGAGATGCGATGCATCTGTAAAGCTGCATACTGCTCACTTACTGGCTAGTGAAAATCACGGAGTGATTTCACACACCACTAGTAATGCCAATGTCTTACCACATCCTCCTTTCCTTACATGTTTCAGACCACTCCTGACTCCCAAGCCCTTACTGCTATGAATCAACCATCTCAGCTACTGCTGTTAATGCTAACACCGAATTCTGCCAGCACAGTGACGTCTCAGGAAATAGAGACTTTGATCTGGCTTGATCTTCCTTCATTCTTAAGTACTTTCTCATATAGTATATGAGGATATAATATTGCTCCAAATGATATTTAAACAGAGCAGGGTGAGTTGTCATGTCTTGCTCTGCCACTAATTTTGCTTGACTGCATTGTCAACAGGGATGTCAGCTGTGACATTTGGACATATAAGAAGGCAAACACGCCTCTGTCACTTCAACACTAGAAAGATGTTTAGGCAAACAAATGTGCTCTTCTCTTCATACCGTTGTTAGAACTGATAAATAACCTCTAGAGTATTAATTTTTCTGGTGTAAAACAGGCATTTCAGCCTCATGGTTCACTGATTAAGGGATTACTCAGAACATATCACAGGTTTTGCTTAGAGTTCATAAATCAAACACATGTACTGTTCCACTGCTCTAACTCCATGGATTAGGCTATCAACCTAGCTAGGCTTTCGAGCATCCTTGGAAAGTTAATACTGGCAGATGTGGCTCAACTAGGAAGAAGTACACTTCTGCTTTAGAAATGAACTAATAATAACATTTCAGGTAACGGAAACTCAACTGATTTCCTCAGATTTGATCCAAGAAGTCTCCATGACCAGGGTTGTGCTCTCAGTGTCTGGACTTAGTATTTTGTACGCCTGAGTTATTCTTACCTATTGTAACACTACCTCCAAAGACATGAGCTAGGCCAAGGGAACAGAAACACTAACAAATACCTACTGAGAAGTGGATAAATGCAAATCTAATGTAGCGCTGACCAAACTGTCCATAAATTTGGAAAGTAGCTAAGCTTCTCAGAAAGGGTTAAATTTTAATCAAGTAACCCTGATAAACACTACTGAGAATTTTTAAGAGTACCTGAGCATATTTGGCAAAGAGAAAAGAAAAAGAAAACAAACAGTATCTGCATGCTTCAAACATCACATTCCAAGCAGCGCATCGTCTCTCTAATATATTTTTAATACATATTGAACAATAAAAGTGAAATGAACAGCACTGCCATAGCATACAGTGAGACAGACCTTTTGGAAGAGCTCACAGGCATTCCTCTGCTCAGAAAAATAACTACAGCCCATTTGGAAGGAACATCCACAGCAAGTGACAGATCTTCAGATTTCTAAACATATGAAAAACAGAACATTCTAAATTCTGTCTCTTTCTTCCTGATGTTTCAACTCTATTCCCTTACTTAGAGTATTCATGACTCCCGGCTTTGTCCTTCACATTCACATTGGTTGAGGAATACAAATATCCCGATACCATCTCAGATGTGAGAAAGTGGATGGCATCCCAGGTATAAAGGACATTACTGACAACCTTACAATTTGTGCCTAAGGTTATATTGACAGTAGAAAAATGGAGCCTGGCCAAGCTTTGACAGGAAACTGTGTAGAGGATGTTTTCTAAAGCAAGGGAAAAGTCAAAAATACAATATTGAATGTCCCTCTATATTAATTAACAAAAGCTATGGTGAATGTTGCAACCTAATAATGGTTGTGTTTGGGATACTCTCTAAACTCTACAAAACTTTGAGAAAGAGAACTCTCTTGCCTGAAAACGCACGCCATCATTTCTAGCTGAAGGTAGAGGTTTGTTTAGAGGTTATTCAGAATGTTATTTAGAGGTTTATTTGTTCAGATTGAACAATCTGGCATTGACAAGTATTTGTGAATATTCACTTTACTTTTAGTATATCAATTTTATGCCTTACAGTAATTTCCAGAGTGTGTCCAGAGACTGACAAAGATTGATCTGCTGCTTAGAGTCCTGGAGTCCCAGCC